TCTCAGGTAGAGGTAGATGGAGGATCATTTTGGATTTATTCATTTTCTCTTTTGTCATTGCATCCTGTTTCCAAAATCATTCTGTGATTTTTTTTAAAGTCCCCATGAAAATGCACTCACATTTTCATGCAGCTCTTTCTTAATACAATTCTTGGATGTAATTCTGCCAAATATACATGTGTTTCTGCATTCTCCCCTAATATATGTTTCTTTGAATGGAGAGCCCGTGTGACCTAGTAGCTGAACTGGGGCTTAGAAGGCCGAGGTTCAAATCTTTGGGCCAGCCATTGACTCTCAGCCTGGCCTATCTCCAGTGTTGGGGATTTAAGTCCAGTGACTTGCTCCTAAGTCTGACTCAACTGTATCGGCGACTCAACTCAGGAGCAATGACTGAGTGACTCAGCTCGAGAGTTCTACTCTTTTTATGAGCGACTCACTCCAGGGCTTACTGCCTGCGTCCAACGTGCTGTAGGATATCCTGGGGCAATTGTGGCAGAAGGTATCTGTGATGGTCCAGAAGACTGGCATGAACTCAGCAGAGGCGGGGGGGGGTAGTTTCAAGGGGGTGGGGGAAGAATACGGAGGTGGGGGTTATGATGGGGGCAAGGAAAGGCAAGGGGTAGGGTAGGAACTTTGGGGGGGGTTACAACTCTCCTATCCCCCACACACCCCTCCCCACCTCCCTTTTCCTTGGCTCGAGACCTGAGACTCAACTCAAAGATTTCTTGCAATGATTCAAGACTTGACTTGGACTTGAAGTAAAGACTTAAGACTTGAGTCTCAGGTACAGACTTGAGACTGAGGAGCAACTGAGAGAACCAGGCATGGTCAGCCTTGAGAAGAGAAGACTGAGGGGAGACATGATATCCCTCTATAAGTACCTCAAAGGCTGTCACAAAGAGGAAGGGCAAGATCTCTTCTTGCTGATACCAGAGTGTAGGACATGGAATAATCCGTTCAAGTTATGACAACCCAGATTCAGGCTGGACATCAGGAAAAGCTTCCTCACTGTCAGAGCAATACAACAGTGGGACCAGCTGCCTGGAGAGGTGGTGGGCTCTCCCACACTGGAGGCATTCAGAAAGAGGCTGAACTGCCCTCTGAGTGGGATGGTGTGACTTGATGTCTTGCAACAGCAGGGGGTTGGACCCGATGGCCTTCATGGCCCCTTCCAACTCTGCTATTCTATGATTCTATGACTCATGGGTTGGAGTAAAGGACTTGAACACACATCACTGCCTACCTCACAGGGCTGTTGTTATGAGGATAAAATGGAGAGAAGGCAAAACTTGTAGGCTGCCCTGGGTTCTGTGTAAGAGAAAGAAAGATGGGGTATAAATGAAGTACCACAGAACTCCTATATCCATGGGGTTCTGTTTCAAGTCCCCTAGTGGATGCCTGAAACTGCGGATAGTAGCAAACACTATGTACTATATATATGCATTTCTTTTTGCACAGTTCCATTGACAGACGGTTCATTCCTACCATACATCCTAGCAACCTCAACATAAGATTTTTTTTCTTTCCCTGTTAAATCAAGAATTTCCACTTAAAGGAAGCACTTTACAACTTCTCTTTGACACTTTATGGCACTTTACAACTTCTCTTTCAGACAGAGGTTATTTGCGGTTAAGTAAAAGCATAGGAATTGAACCAGTGAATATGCAGGTCCCACTGCATAATAATTTCTGAAAGGTGAAACTTATTGCAACCCTCAAAAAGTTGTGCCTATTGAAATATAACTGTGTTCTGTTCACATTATTTAGTTTCCCTTTTAAAACTAAACCACATCACTTCAGATACTTGCTAGAAATCCTTTAATCAAACTGAAACCCAAAGGCTAACCTCTCTTTTTGCAAAAATTCATGCTTACTTGCTTGCTTGCTTTCATCCCTCTTTTCATTCATTCTTCCCACCCACTTAGGATCATCTCTGAATGACAGCATAGTCTATATATGGGGGGGGGGGGGTTCAAATCAGTTTTTTGTGTTCCAAAAGGGAAAAGAAGAGAGAGAGAGAGAGAGAGAGAGAGAGAGAGAGAGAGAGAGAGAGAGAGAGAGAGAGAGAACAAACCAACTAATTTCCAACTGAGATTATGTGGAATTAATATGACTTCTGCAAATCTGCACTCAGATTCAGTGCACTTTCTGCAAAGGTAACAGCAAATGTAGAGCCACTTCTGTAGAATTCTTATCAAAGAGAAATAAACCACAAGGAAGAGAACTGGAGAGCCAGTGTGGCGTAGTGGTGAAGAGCACAGGACTGGGACTCAGACGACCTGGGTTCTAGTCCCCGCTCGGCCATGGAGCCAACTGGGTGACTTTGGGCCAGTCACAGACTCTCAGCCCAACCTACCTCACAGGGATGTTGTTGTGGGGATAAGGGTGAAGGAGGAGAATGATGTAAGCTGCCTTGAGCCCTTTGTAGGAAAAAGGCAGGATATAAATCCAAAATAAAAAAAAAAAACTTTTCCACAGTTGTGCAGAGCAGTCAAAATCATGTTGGCTGCTTAGGGATTGCTAACAGAGTTTCACTCCTTGGTCTGACAGAGGTTCCACCCCCCTGACCTACATGCCTTCAAGGTAACATCTAAAGAGTCTGCCAGTGCTCAAGGGTTTGCTATTTCCACTCTTAAATATTCTCAGCAAGTGAATGTCTCTCAAGTCATGTGGTTTCATTTCATAAAGTTTCTTTTTAATGGAAGAGTTGGAAAATCTCCCCACCAGGAAAAATGGGAAATTGTGCCTTTGACCTGACAAATTCACTGTTCAGGAACTTAGCCGAACATCAAGGAAAAGAAAACGTGTCTTTCTGCCCCTTTCCCACTTGTGTACACAAACAAAGGAGGAGGATCCCCACTTTCTCCAAACCACAAAACCATTTATTTAAAGAGGGAAATGGAAGCCAGGCCCAAGGGTCCAGCATGGAGCAGACAGCTCTTTCTTCCTCCTGACCTGCCTGCTCAAACTATTCCATTCATGCCGTGGGCATAATGATATGATGCCATGACGGTATATTTCCATTGGACGTGGCACTCCAAAAACCTTGCCAGAAGGAGCAATTTTTAGAAACGGGAGCCAGGGTATGAATTTCCCACTTGTGTGCTATCACAGGGTTTGCATTCTTGAGCATGAAAGTAGCTGAGGTCAAACGGTGGGGCTTGTTTGCGATGCTTAGTTTGCTCGCCCACAAGGGAAGTCTTTCTGTTTGATGTGGAGAAAAGGGAGAGTTATTTATGTATTGTTGAATGACTGAGATGTATCAAGGAGGGAGAGAATTCCCACTGAATGAGCCACGAACTGGAGGATACACCATTATTGGCGGTGCAATTTTTTCAGAGCATCCATCCAAGGTGCATTCACCTTCAGCACTGCCAATGTTCAACCTCATAAAACTGTTGTGTCTCAGTGAACACAATGCGATGGGGCTTAATTGCAGCTGGCTTTCATTTCACCACCTTTAAAGGGCTCGGTTGCAGTCTTGGCAACGAGGTCATGGCTTTTCTGGCTGATGAGATGAGCACCAAGTTCGTACCTTGCTTCGAAGTACAACTGCAGACCTGAGAAGCTTCAGGGGGTAAAAATCTGCAAGATCAGCCAGGTGCTTCTGGCTTTAAAGGGGAAAAAAGCAACCCTTCTTCCCACTGCTGCATCGCTACATTTTGCCAGCAAACCGCGACTGTGTTGCTTGCACAGCTATGGTGGATTTCATGGGCAGTGGCGGGGCTACAGAAAAAGTCCAGGAGACCACACGTACCTTGTGGCATGTTCATTGCCTACCCCTGATTTAGACCCTAGCACAGTGGTGGCAAACCTATGGCACGTGTGCCGCACTGGGCATGCAGAGCCCTCGCTGTCAGCACATGAGCCAAGTTGCCCCAGCATCTCCCCAGAAGCTGAACATCAGATAACAACACACACAGGGGCCATGTGCGTGATCGGAAGGAGTAGCGGCGTCAGGTGATGATGTCACGAGCCGCAACTTGTTAGCTGTGACTTATCTGAGCTTTTGCATGGCCGGTCAGTGCACTGCCAAAGATATATACATATACATATACATATACATATACATATACATATACATATACATACATACATACATACATACATATATATATATATATATATATATATGCATGCTTGGGACTGCAGGTGGCGCAGTGGTTTAAACCGCTGTGCTGCTGGGCTGGTTGATCGAAAGGTCGCCAGTTCGAATCTGCACAACAGGGTGAGTTCCCGTTGCTCCGTCCCAGCTCCTGCCAACCTTGCAGTTCAAAAGCATGCAAATGCAAGTGAATAAAAAGGTACCACTTTGGTGGGCAGGTAAAAGCGTTCCGTGCACTTTGGTGTTTAGTCATGCCGGCCGCATGAGCACGGAGACTGTCTGCGGACAAACGCTGGCACCCTCGGCTAGGAAACGGAGATGAGCACTGCCCCCTAGAGTCAGGCATGACTGGACGTAATGTCAAGGGGAAACCTTTACCTTATATTTGCTTGGACTGGCTGTGAATTGTTTTTTCTAAACGAAAACCTCAGTATTCAGGTTTTATTGCAGTGTTGGCACTTTGCGATAAATAAGTGGGTTTGGGTTGCAGTTCGGGCGCTCGGTCTCTACAGGGTTCGCAATCACTGCCCTAGCAGATGCCTTACTGCTTAGCCCTCCTGCCCAACCTCTGGCATCCAGGCAAGCAGAGAAAGGGCTGGTGGGTGGGTCGGTGCTTGGCTGGGAGGTAGAAAGGCTGGATGGTGGCGGAAAGGACAGGTTGGGTGGTGGTTCAGTCTAGGGCACCATAACCAGAGGTGAAATATGGACACATTTTGGAAGACAGATGATCTTGAATGTCTACAGAGCTTTCTTCAATGTAATCTGAATTTCCAGAATTATTTTGTCTGAACTGGTAGGTCTGGAGGCAGTAGCATCGGTTATTGAAAGGATAATGTTTGGTGGAGAATTCAACATGATCATTGAACATGGGCTTTTATTGTCATTTTTATTCTTAGAAATGGAACATGGAGGCCTGAACAGTCTTGAGTCTACCTACAGTACCATACAGCAACAGCTAAATGAGACATTTAGGCAACGCAGACATGCTGGAGACAATGACTACAATATCGAAGTGCTTCTTGGAGTGGATGACTCTGTGGTCCGATTCCATGGCAAAGAACATGTGCAGAATTACCTCCTTACCCTGATGAATATAGTGAGTGGAAGTCCTTCTGTGCTTGTCTGTTGGCTTATGCATGTGGCAGATGCTTTCTGGATGGTTTGACATTTTTGATGGTGGTGGTGTTGGTGATGGTGATGCAGCCAAAAGGATAACTGCAACAATGGAAGCATGAAATACTAAAATGTGAAATGCACTCTCCAATAGACAACTGGGAAACCTTTGAACTTGGAGACAGGGTCAGGATGAACCCATTCAGAAGCTGACCCTCTGGCACCGGTGCACTTCCCGTTGTGCTCAACCCAGGCCTGCATGGTGAACTGAGCCAAGGGGAAGTCTGTGGATGCTTGTGGATCCCTGGGAGTGCAACCAGCAGCCTTCTCCATCAGGAGTGGCTGCAGGACATGGAAAGGGGGCACTGCGAGTGGGCACAGAGCCACCATTCCTGAAGGCCAGCCTTCTTACCTGGCCACAGGTGCTGCCAGTGGCGGTGCATACAGAAGAAAGGCACTGCTTATGCACTGCATGGCTTGCCGTTCCTGGAGGCCACCTTCAAATGCTGGGCATTCTCACCAGGAACGTGGGATCAGGGCTGCCCCCGAGTGGACTGGAGTGCGTGAAGCCAAGCCCAGGGGTTCTGAGGAATTCCCACCCCCAAGAAGATCCCTCACGTATCCCTACCTGGAGGTTCCCCTGCTGGCTGGGCTGAAGCCAGCAGGGCTTAAGGAGCAACGGGGACAACTTGGCCTTCCTGCCACCAATCTTTCCTGAGTTGTCCCCAAACTGGCTTTTTAGTCTGCCAAGCCAGGTTGCTTCAGAGTGGGGAACAAGAGGCTGGAGCAGGGATGTGTGAGGAATCCACCTGGAGGTGATATTTTTGGGTTCGCGGAGCTCAACCCCCTGCATTCTGGGCTGCTTTGCTTTGCCTGGCCCAGAGTCCAAGTTTCAGGTGAGTGTTCCTCACCTGAGGAGCATTCATGGGGCATGTACCAGGAATTGTACCCCACACGATGTGCACGTGTGCCTCTTTTGTCCTGGTTCATTCCCTGATGGTACACATACCCCAGGTTGGGAATCACTGGATCAGATCAATTAAACCCATGATAGAGATTCAGGGATGCACAACTCGCTCTCCCACGTTGGCATCTATATCTGATTATTGTATTTATTTGTTCATTTATTTATTTTAATTTTATATACCACCCCATTATTTTGATTTTTTATATACCACCCCATTCCTACAGGATCTGGACAGTTTACAACAAATAAACATAGGAACAGAGCGAGTCAGAAGGGGTCTCCTGGGCCATCTAGTCTGACCTCTGGCACCAACCAGCTTCGCTCACGACATGCCCACCAACAGTGATTAACATTAAAACCAACAGTGATTAACATTGACTAAAAACAGCATATTAAATGAGTCTGATCTTGAGAACTAATCTGGGGAGGCCTGTGGGAAGAGATCCATCTTTAACTCTCTCTTGAAGGTGGTAATCTGGAATATAAGATGCATCTCTCCCATTCCACAGTTTAAGGGCATTCACTGAGAAATTATACTTGTCAATTATAATTATCTTTGGGATTTTGCCTTTTGGGAATTACCATAAACATACTTCACTTTTTAAAGCCAGAATTGACCTGTTTCTGTTCTCCAATGGGATTTGGCATTGCTGTTTAGAGAAAGAGCTGTGAAGAAATAGCTCCCTCCGCTGTTAGCATGGAATAGTGTTCTGAAATTTACTTACAGATAATCAAAGGGAGTATCGTCCTTTTGGGATATCCTGAAACTTGGTTGAGGTTTTATTCCTGAGTAAATAGTATCTCAGAGGATGTTATTCACGGCTTTTAAATTTTCAGCTATCTTGTGGTTCGGGCCCCTAGGGATGGAGAGACTGAGCAGTAGAGAAATTCACCAAGGATTCCCTGTCCTCACATCAAGCAGGCTTTACTCTTTAAGGCCCCCTAAAATAATGTTGAATAAATGCAAATATTAGCGATATAGGGAAAGCTGTACTCCTATATTGAAACATATAGAATTTTAAAATCTATGTATGCATAACTATAATTTTAAAGAAGTTTTCATATTTCAAAGTTTTAAAGTTATTATTTTTCAGTTTTTTAAAAAAATAATCAATATAAAATGAATGCACTATTGGTGGTCAAGATGTTTGTTTCTGGAGTATTGTATTATGGGCATTGCATTGTCTGTGTTATCAGTGATTGCAAACAATTTTTAAAGATAATTTAGAGAAATAGACAGCAGTAAGATGCACCACTGAATAATTATTCAGTTATAACCGAACTCCACCCAACATCTTCATTCAGAGCCATATCACAGAAATCAGAGTTGGAAGGGACCAAGAAGGCCATCAGGTCCAATTCCCTGCTCAGTGCAGGACTGAAAAGCATTTCTGCTTTCAACGGGCAAGTTAAAGCATCCATAACAGCTGTGGCTTGGCATGCCTCCAGCGTGGGGAAGCCCGTCACCTCCTAGGGCATTGGCTCCATTGTCGTATTGCCCTAACAGTCAGGGAGTTTTTCCTGATATCTAGCCAGTATCTGGCTTCCTGTAACTTGAACCACACACGCATTCCATGTCGAGCACTGTGGGATGATCGAGAAGAGATCCAGGCCCTCCACTGTGTGACAGCCTTCCAAGTACTCGCAGAGTACGCATCTCCCGTTTTTTCTTCTTGAGGCTACACATTTCTGGTTCTTTCAGTCTCTTTGGGAGCCCTCTATGAAAGAGGATAGAAGAGCAGCTACCCAGGGAAGGGCCTTCTCTTTAGCAGCACCCCAGCTTCGCAACTTGCTCCTGGTGCTGATATTTTATTCTTTTCGGTGCCAGACCGAAACCGTTTTATTCATCCAGTATTTTAAGGGCTAATTGTTTTATTATGTAACTGGATTAACAGTATATTTTTATATTGTATTTTAACTGTGCTCTTAGGCTTCTGGTTTGTAAGCCATCTTGAGATCTGTTTCAGATAGGACAGACAGGATAGAAATAAATAAATAAGGGTGTGGCGCATCTTGTCCGGGGAGTATGGGCTCAGGGCCATTGTTGAGAAGGATTTGTCCTTCCCTGGTGCAAAAGCAGTGGCATTTCTTCTGATTTTGCTGTCCATAGAGCAAGCAATGTTAGCTTGGACCCAAGGTATCCTCTGAGAGCACCTCTCATGATCGGCAAATTAGTGCTTTGGTGACAATGCCTGAAAGGCAGTCCAGATGGATGGATGGATGGATTGAAAACTTTTTTAGACCATCCCTTAGCATAGTCTCAGGACAGTTTAACAATATTCAGAATAAAATAAAACACAGCATCCTAATCAAATTCTTAACCAGCCAACAATAAAACACATATTAAAAACATTGGAAAATAAAAAACGTTTAGCCTGGCGCTGGAAAAAATAAAGTGATGGTGCCAGGTGAACCTCTCTGGGGAGCGAATTCCACAATTGGGGTGCCACCACAGAGAAGGCCTTTCTCCAGGTAGCCACAATCCTAATCTCCTTCAAGGAGGGCTCCCAGACAAGGGCCTCTGCCCCAGATCTTAAGAGGTGGGCAGGCACATACAGAAGGAGATGCTCCTTCAGGTAACCAGGCTACCCTTTGCAGACCTCCGAGAGAAATCCCTGAGTGGTTGATGCCATCCTTCTGACATGGTTCTCCATGTGAGGGGCTTTGGCCCAAAGCCGAAAAGCTTCCCTGCTCAGGGAATTCTATTAGTGTGTGCAAGTGTCCTACTTTGCAGAGGACAATGTAAAGAGGACTGTTTTGGAGCACTGTTGAGAACAGTTCTCTATTTGAAGGGGTGCTGAGTCCAAATAGGGATTAAAGTCGAAGGATGCAAGGAGGGAGACCAGCAGGGCCTTAAAGTTACCAGTCAGCAGTTAACACCTGGCTGGCAGGTGGACCAAGCACCATAGGCAGCTTTCTCAGCTCTGGGGAGACATGCTTCTAAATTTGCACTGATAGAAATGCATCTGCCTATGGAGTTCTGTGCAGATTGGGCCCTCTTTTGTACCTTTTTTGGTTAAGCATCTCCTCCTTTTGAGCAGTGCATTAATGGCCAACCTAAATCTCATCCTTAGCCTTGATGGAGTGATGGAGCGATGGAGCTACACCAGCTCTGATGGGACATGGAAGTTTTGTTGTTCTGGATCACTGGAACGACGAGCTGTGGTCCCATGTGATTGGGAGAAAGGGACAAATTACTTTAACTCACCTGGCCATGCAGTGGTGCTGGGGAGGGAAGTGGGGGGGGGACCCTTTAAAGGGCATCTACAGTAGAAGGAGACTGTTCTCATTTGAAGAGCAGATCTTGAATGAACCACTTGCTTTGAAGGTTGCACGGAAGGCTTTTATCATGGGCTTTTATGCAAGGGGTGGGAAACAGGCTGCAACACCCTCCACTTGTACCTAGAGATGGATGAACATTCCCGGGGTGATTCTGTTGCTTCCTCAGAAAATACTGCACCCACCTATCTCCCCTTGAACCTGAGATCTCCTTTAACAGCAATGCTCACTCAGGGTGCGAGAGCTTTTGGGTACGCACAATAGCAGAGTGCATCTTGGGATGTGTAGTCTGGGAATGCATATGGCGGCATGACCTCATGCAGCACTGCGGTATGTACACTCCTGATTGGCCGTTCTCCACTGTAATCCGACCAACCCAGCACATGTGCAGGAACAGCATTGTGCTGATGCAGGCGGCACAAATTCCGAAGCTCGCATTCAATTCTGCGCACAGTGGCAAACTTGCAAAACACCGATCCAAAGGTGAACCATACAAATAGGTGAGTTTTGACTACTGAGCCAACTAATTACTAAATTTGGCAGGATCGCGGCTAGCATCCCACCTGCATTTGCCAGCCATTCCTCATATTTTTGCTTCCTACACAAAAGCCATTAATGAGAGGGAAATGAAATAGCCACAAGGTGACTTTTAATTGGTGGCACTGGGAGCCGTCCCTGTGGAAGCACTGGGAGCAAGCAATTCCGACAGCCTCCTTAGTGAAGCGTATCCTCCTTTTGATAGAAGCTGCAAATCTGCTCAGTTTTTGGTTTGGATGAATCGGTTTTTACTGACCCATTTGTGTTTTCCCCTTTGCCTGTCTGTGTGTCTCTGCTTCCCTCTTCCTTAGGTAAACGAAATTTACCACGATGAATCCCTGGGAGTCCACATCAATGTGGTGCTTGTTAGGATGATCCTGTTGGGCTATGCCAAGGTAAACAAGCCAGGTGAACGGTTGATCTATCTCCTTCCTCATTCCAGTAGCCTTTACAGGATGTGTGTGCTTTTGCCACTGGGACAAAGCGTGCGTGTGTAGCAGGAAGCTGGATCAAGTGGGAGTTCATGAGACAAGCCACGCTGGATCAGAGCAAAGGTCCGTCTAGTCCAGCTCTCTACACAGGGTGGCAAACCCAGTGGATCCTTCAAGTAGGCCGGGCACAAGACCTCCTTCTGCCCGAACTCCTCAGCCACTGGTGCCAGCAGGCGCGCCACCTGTGATAAAGGATGTGGCACATGGCCCACCAGACTAGTGGCCACGGGTGGCCTCCTCCCTTGTGAACCCCCTTTTGAAGTCACTCAGAATGGTGGCCGTCGCCACCTCCCCTGGCAGCAAATTCCATAGTTTAAAAATGCACGGTGGAAAGAAGCCTTTCCTCTGATCTGTCCAAAATTCCCCACCAATCAGCTCCCTAGTGGTTGCAGTTTTCCTTGAGCTGAAACAGATTTTTTATTTATTTATTAAAACATTTCTATGCCGCCCCATTCGCCGAAGCCTCGGGGCGGCTCACAACAATGAAGTACAAAGAGCCAAGCCAAAACAGGCGTGTTTATTTAGGCCCTGGGCTGCCTTGCCCCCGTCCCTCCCCAGCTGCCCTTCTTCCCACCAGAACAAGGGAGCCCTTGCACCCTGCCCTTGCGGGCGCCAGGTATGGGGCCGCGAGGGGCCAAGAGATGTGATGCAGAGGATCTATAATTCCCAGGTCTGTTTCTTAAACAGTTCCGACCTTTGAGTCATTATAACAGCCTCACAGGTTTGCAAAGGGCAGGAAGGCACTGTTTGATTAGCAAAGCAATGGATGTTAGCAGCCCACAGGCCTCGGAATTGGGCTCACTATACCTGATGTTCAATGGAAACAATTTTGCTATGATTACGTTTTCCATTCTGGTTCAGTCCATCAGCCTCATTGAACGAGGGAATCCATCCAGGAGCCTGGAAAACGTGTGCCGTTGGGCATACCAGCAGCAAAAAACAGACCTGAGTCATTCGGAGCACCACGACCATGCCATCTTTCTAACGAGGCAAGATTTTGGACCAGCTGGAATGCAAGGTAGTGTGGGCGAGATACTCCAGGGCATGGTCTGCAGCCCTCTGTGTGTGACAGAAAAGCGAACAACCGTTCCTGCTCGTGACTTTCTCTCTTCGGTTATGATTAGCTGAATTGCCATCACACATAGATACCTACCCACCCCCCTTAGATCAGCTCAGGAGTCCCTTCTACAAGAAGGGTGGCAACCAGGTGAAGGGCCTTTTCTGCTGCCACTCCCCATCTCTGGAACTCCCTTCCTAGGGAAATATGCCTGGCGCCACCTCTATTTTCCTTTCGGTGCCAGGCGAAAACATCTCTTTTTAGGAATTTTTTAAACATTTAGCCTGTATGCTGTGGCCCTTTTTAATTGTTTTTACAGATGTTTAATTCATTATGTTTTAATTGGTTTTATGGTTTAATTGGTTTTTAATGTGTTTTTGCTTTGTTGGTATATTTTGCATTGTAAGCCACTTAGGAAGGCCTTGGCAATTATAGGTGGCCTATAAATACATGTCAATAAATAAAATAAACATTAAAAGGGATATTGTAGAGTTGGAGAAAGAGCAAAAGGAGGTTAAAAATAAGCAAGGGACTGGAGCAACTCCATCATGAGGAAGAACTAGTACAGCTGGGACAGTTTAGGTTAGAAAAGAGGTGAGTAAGAGGAGACACGACAGAGGTGTCCAAAAGGATGCCCTAATACGGAGAAAGAAGAGAGGGAGAAATTTTTTCTCGATGCACTTCTGTAGTTATTACTCCACAATAAGCTGCTCTGCTCCTGAGGGAGGTTTACACTTTATTTCATTTATTGATGTGCCTTTTATTGTGCATTCATGTTGTTTTTATGTTATGTTTTTAAGGGCAAGTGCTGTTTTGCAAAAAGGGCAAACACTATTTTGGGCTGCATTAACAGAAGCATCACTCCCAAAACATGTGAAGGACTAGTTCGCTCCAGTACCTGGAGTCCTGCGGCCACTTCTGACACCCAAGTTTTAAAAAGATGCAGGAAAGCTAGAAAGGGTTCAGAGGAGGGCAGCGAGGATGATCCAGGGACTGGAGGCAAAGCCCTGTGAGGAAAGATTAAGAGAACTGCACATATTCAGCCCCAAGAAGAGAAGACTGAAGGGAGATATGATAGCACCGTACACGTGCCTGAAACACTGTCACAAAGAGGAAGGACAAGATCTCTTCTCATTCATCCCAGAGTGCAGGATGCAGAAACCAGAATTAGACTAGACACCAGGAAGAATGTCTTCACTGTCAGAACAGTACAACTATGGAACCATTTACCTGGGGAAGTTGAGGGCTCTCCCTCACTAGAGACATTCAAAAAACATCTGGACAGCCATCTGAGTGGGATGGTGTAAACTGGTCACGGAGTTGGACCCAATGGCCTTCTGGCCCCTTCCAATTATTTATTATTATTATTATTATTATTATTATTATTATTATTATTATTATAACATTTCTATGCCGCCCCTTGCCGAAGCCTCGGGGCGGCTTACAACACAATAAAATACATTGAAATACAATAGAACATAATAACATAATACAATTCTACTATTCTATGATTCTATAATAAAATTTTGCTTTTAATCTCTATTTTATTATTTTTCACTGTCTTGCACATCACTTTTTGGCCAAAGGCATTAGAGAAATGAATGACAGCTTCCTCTGATGCAACAGGAAATAAATATTTTTCTGTTGCACAGGAGAAGCATTGCTGATTTCTCATGCTGCCCTCATTAGCACTGGCAAGACACCTGTTCTTTGGGTAGGTTAAAGATGCGCGATAACTGTGGGTTGGTTGACCAAGACAAGGACAATCTGTTTGCTTTTTAAAACCCTGCTCTTCAACACTCCCAACAGGTTATGCTCCAGTAACAGGCATGTGCCATCCTGTCCGGAGCTGCACTCTTAACCATGAAGACGGATTCTCTTCTGCTTTCGTGGTCGCCCATGAAACTGGCCATGTGTAAGTCTTGCTGTCAAATAGCATCTACCGAATTGCTTCTTTATTTGCATTTTCACTTGCATGTTCGGAAACAAATACTTCTGCTGCTCAAGTGTCTTCAGTTTGATTACTTCATGCTTATCAAGAGTAGAGTTCAAATGAAGCTTGCCAGAGTCCATCCCTCCAGCATTTCATGGACATCCTCTCGGGCTTGGCCCAGTCTTGCAAAGTGAGCCAAACTGGTCTGGTATGGATGGGTGGATGGAGATGGGTCAGCAGCTACAGGCCCCAGAATGAATTCTGCCCCAGGATCTATGCTTAGCTCCCCCTCTCCTCCCCTCAGTTTCCAGGCAAAGAGATGGTGTTAGACATAGACCCAGCTTCCAGGTGTTGGGGGTGGCAGTTGGGCTTGGTCAGAGAGCAGCCCTCCAAGGAGAAAACGATGAGCAGCTGATCCTCCACAGGCATCCATCGTGGGTGCTGCAATCCAAGCCATCAGGAGGAAACTCCGTGGACAGCTGAACAGTTCCCTCCATGGTGAGGAAAGTGTAGGGGACACACGGCATTGCCAGGCTGTTGCCACAGGAAGTAAAAAAGGAAACTGGCATGCCACGGAGCCTCGGACGTGGATGATGGTTTTCTTACTCCAGATGCCGTCCAAAGATGCTCAGCACCAGTGTGTCTGTCTTTGCAAAATCAGAGGGGCCCTGAATGGAGACATCGGCATTAACACAGAACAGCTTTAACCAAACCAGGGACGGGTGTTTTTAGCCCATCCTGGCCATTGCATTCCTATTATTCCTATGAATTATTGGCGTATCCCACCCAGCGAACGCATGATGGCTTACATTGTCTCCCTCTTCCCCATTTTATCATCACTACAACCCCGTGGGGTACTTAAGCTGAGAGTCACTCGGCGAGCTTCAAGGCCAACTGGGGAGTCGAGCTTGGATCTCTTCTGTCAAGCTAGTCCGTTCTCTGCCTTGAGAGTGGAAGATTCCTTATATCTTCATGCAGATTTTATTCCTCGCCCCATCCCTCAAATGAACCCTACATTCTTTTTGACTTTCATTTTAGTCTGGGAATGGAACACGACGGACAAGGGAACAGGTGCGGGGACGAAACTGCGATGGGAAGTGTCATGGCTCCGTTGGTGCAGGCAGCCTTCCACCGATACCACTGGTCCCGGTGCAGCGGCCAGGAACTCAAGAGATACATACAGTAAGATGCCGCTTGTGTGTAGGGAAGGTGGAAAATACCTGGAGTGAGGCTAAGGGGCCACAGAGAGAAAGGCTCAAGTCTGGCTCGGGTCTGACCCGGAAACAGAAGCAGGCGTTCCTTTAGGTATCCAGGTCCCAAGCCGTTAAGGGCTTTATAGGTAATACCCAGCACCTTGAATTGAGCCCGGACTTCGATGGAGAGCCAGTGAAGCTGTTAGAGGACTGGGGTTATGTGAGAATAATGCCCAGTCCCCATCGGCAACCTGACTGCTCTATTTTGCACCATCAAAGGGCGGGAGGGCATATATAGACGTGGCCTGGCGTGGCCTTTGTGACTGCAGCTTCAGGTGCCGAGCATCGTTTGTCCTTTGCTTCCCCCACAGCTCCTACGACTGCCTCCTTGACGACCCCTTTGACCACGCTTGGCCCAAACTTCCCGAGCTGCCGGGGATCAACTATTCCATGGATGAGCAGTGCCGCTTTGATTTTGGAGTCGGGTACAAAATGTGCACGGCGGTATGTCCAGAGCGCTTTCTAGAAAGTAAGGCTGGCCCAAACTTCTGGACCATTGCAAGTTCAGCCCACGTGGGGTGGGGGCTGGGATGAAAGACCAAGCGCACTGGCCACGCTCCTCCTACGCTTTTGGCAGGAGGCCTGCCGTTTGGGAAGTGTCGAAGCTCAGCATCTGGGGTCACTTTCTGTCCCTCCAGGGTTCCCCAGAGGAACCTTTCCCCTGACGACGCATCCCCTTTGTTCCTTCCCAGGCCGAGCATGTTTCCCTCACCACCACCTTCTCAAAGGTGGAAACACCAAGGTTTAGTTTCTGGCGGCAAAAGTGCCAAGCTAGACTGAGCTGGTACTTCTGCCCCTGTCTCAGCCACTTGGAAGCTTCTCCAAACCTGATTCTACCCTCGGGCAGAAGGAACTTCAACTCCTCTGCTCAACAACCTCTAAACAGGTGGCGGTGGCCATTTTTCTCCACAAAATACCTCACTCAGCGGAGCATCCTGGAAGGGGGAGAGGAAAGCCATTGTTCGAGGCATTCCATTCAAATCCATGCATCTCGTCCCTTAAATCTCCCACAAACCATGCAGCCTGAAAATGGGGCCGTGGCATTTAATAAGCAGCATAAGAAAGGGCAGAGCGATAGTGCCTTGGGTCTCCATTGTGCAGGGAAATTGAACTTTAACAACCATGTAGGACTTTCTGCTGAATAATGGATAGTTTGTATGAAAACTATACTAGATTGGTTCATGAAATGCATGGGAGTAGATTGGCTGCTCCCCATGTCCTTCCAACCAGTGGTGAAAAATGGTACGCAAACATGTACTAAGTTTACTGAGCTAAATGTCTTCAAGCTTAATGTCTTCATCATAAGCCTCTCCAAGCCAGTTCCAAGAGTTCTTAGACTTTAAACCAGACTTGGACTATTCTTTGAACCGAGGACTATTCCTTGTAAAGTAGGACACCAAGCTCCCAGGGAGCGCATATGAAAGGCCTTTGTATGTGCCTGATTTGTAGGGGATGGATGTCAACTAATATGTGGGCTTTATGCTGAAAGTCAAAGCATGGATTCACTTGTGCTTCCTTTTTTGAATCATTGAAAGGAACTGAATGATTCTTGGTTCCATGAATCATTGTTCCTTCTGGTTCCTTCCTAGCCATCTATTACAGAAGAACTCCCAGCAAATGGAACTGAGTTGCTTGTAACAATGGCTTGTTCATACATAGCTTCCATATGGGCTGAAGTGCCTGATCCTGCCTAATCTTGGAAGCTAAGCGGGGTTGGGCAGGTCGAAATCTGGATGGGTGACTTAAATGTTGCGAACTGCCCAGAAAGCTTTGACTATGGGTGATAGCAAAATGTAATGCAATAGCAATAATAATATTAGTAAATTTAGTTTCGGGAGTTACAATGATCCTGTATAACCAATTTCTTTACTTTCTGTATTTGGAAACCTCTATATGTTGGATTGTTTGCATTTTATATACACTGATTTTTAAACCAATCTTGGTGTTTCACTTTTTCCAGTTTCGAACGTTTGACCCATGTAAGCAGCTGTGGTGCAGCCACCCAGACAATCCCTACTTCTGCAAGACGAAAAAGGGGCCGCCACTGGATGGAACCGAATGTGCGCCTAGTAAAGTGAGTGCATGCGTTCAGGTTTGAAACAGCACAGTGCTTTTCAAGGCACAACAGTACAGACAGGATGTTAAGGTGGGTGCACCTTGCCCCCATCAAATTCAACAGCCAGGAAACTCGGTCAGGCTTTTCTTCGTAAAGTGTGGTAAAAGGATGCTTGGTTGCTCAATATTCTGCAGTAGGGATAAAGGATGCTAGGAAATGCAGTGCATTTTTGCTTGATGGACTTTCTGCCCATTTCTGATCCAATGCTCGGAAGTGGGAAGGGTTGGGTTTTTTCGCAGGGATTCTGCAAAAACAAAACAAGAACTACATAAATTTGCACTACTCAGTCTAGAACTGCACAGATAGTTTGTTCCCAGTTTGTGCAAACTGAGCAAGTTTCATGATTTCTGCAAGTTTCCTTAGGGGTGTCATTTTGGAAAGGTGCAAATCTCAGCCTGTCTTAGAAATGGAATTTTGTGAACTGAACTGGAAATGGGTGGGGGGGAGGGATTGTGAAAATCCATCAACTTGGCACTCCCCATCCAATTTCTCTCACATTCCAGAGATATGTATTCCTTCGCAAATGACTAGGAATTATACGACATTTGTTTCTGCTCATTTGGATCAAGATTTACCCAGTTCATCATTTTCAGGCTACACAGTTTAGGGTATAACTGTATTTCAGTTTGCAGGCAGGAAGTACAAATTCAGTGAGCTCTCTCTCTCTCTCTCTCTCTCTCTCTCTCTCTCTCTCTCTCTCTCTCTCTCTCTCTCATGCACACACACACACGGACTCCTCTATCCTACTTCTGAGTAGGACTCAGGCTTGGGAGGCCTTGTGCTACCACACATCTGCTGTACTTCCCGCTCTGAGTTTCTTGTTAGATTCCTCCCCACCTCTGCCCTGCAGCTTATCAAAGATTCTAGCCCTCTGGATATGTTTAGTCAGGCTACATAATGCCCAGTGCACCTGCTGAGACGACAAGCAGAACTTTTTCCAAGAAGGTATTTCCCTTATATAATTTCAGAGGAGAGGCATCACGCAGATGTTTTGAACTACAACTTTCAGAATCCCCCAGGTGGCATGTTCCTTGTATGTGCAAGCCCTGGATGAATGCTGTCCCGCACACAGGCATGCACACGTCCTGTCCTTGTATGCGCGGGCACACACACCCTGTCCTTGCAGACCAATGGGCTACACAGATTCCACTCCCAAAGTTCCCTGACTTGAAAAAAAGAGAAGTGAGATGCAGGCAGCTCTGCAGGGCAAGACAACAATGCCCGAGCAACTCCGTTTCATTGGTGCCTCTTCTTCTCCACAGTGGTGCTACAAAGGTCACTGCATGTGGAAGAACACTAACCAGCTGAAGCAAGATGGCAACTGGGGAGCCTGGACGAAATTTGGCTCTTGCTCCCGGACATGCGGAACTGGGGTTCGCTTCAGGACCAGGCAGTGCAACAATCCCATGTAAATCCAAATGGCTTTCTTTGCAACTTTTGCATTCATGGGATCTTGGGACTTCCATTGCATTCACTTCGTTAAGAAAGCTTATCCCAGAACCTGAGCCCATACAAATGCTAATATGACCACACTACTACTGCTACTGGAAGTATCCAGTGGTTGGACATAAGGAGGTTCTTCTAATGATAGGAACATCATGAGTCACTATGTACCATTTGCCCATCTACGCTAGGTCAATATGGTCTTCTCTGAGTACAGCAACCCTCTAGGACTTTTTGTTTTGTTGTTAGTCACTGTCGTAGGGATAAAGGGTGATCCTATGAATGGAAGCCCTCCAAAATGTCCTACCCATGACAGCCCTGTTCAGCTCTTGTAAATTCAAGACTGTGGCTTCCTTCGTGAAGTCAGTCCATCTCATGGTCTTCATTTTCTTCTTCTGCATTCAGTTTTCCCTAACGTGATTGCCTAGGACCTTTGGTGCAGATATTTTAAGCACCGCTTGCTGGTCCTTTCAAGTAGAGATGCTAATGATGGATTGGTTGATTGAGGAACTTTTGGTCTACCGGCAAAATAGTGTCCTCTCCTGTGCTAGAACAACAAGGAGGACATCCAAACCAGCCTATATAGCAGGAGTGGGGAACCTGTAGCTCCCATCGTCCCTGGCCATGGGACACCTGGTGTCCTTCAGGCTACCCACTCCTGATTTATAGGCATGGAGATGTAGCAAAAGGAATTGCGCTCTGGAGAGGGAGATTGGGGACCGGAACTGGATCCACTTGGGGGTCCCCACCCATTCTAATCAGGCCTTGTTTCCAACCTTTCACCCCACTAAGGCCACTTAACGGGGGTCAAGACTGTGCCAGTGTCAATTTCGAGTACCAGCTGTGCAACACAGAGGAGTGCCCAAAGCATCACGAAGACTTCCGAGCCCAGCAGTGCCAGCAACGCAACTCACATTTTGAATATCAGAACAGCAAGCACCATTGGCTGCCCTATGAGCATCCTGACGGTAAGCAACAGCCTTCCTCGCTTCTCTTCCGCATCCGCCAGAGCTGCTTCAAGTACTGTTGAAATGGGCCAAGAAGAAGGAAGCAGCAGCTGCTGCAAAGCCCCCTTTCTGCTGCCCCCAGTGTCTCTTTGCGCTTCCCATTGGAAAAGCGCCTCTGGCTTCCACCAGAGGCACCTTGCGGTCTTCCTTCAAAATTCAGTGACTCATTAATAATTACAAAATACATTCCTGTCGATCTTGATGGGAAATCAGATGTACTCAGTCAAACCTTTCATGCAAAGCAGAACAATCTTTGAATAATGGTATGCCCAATGTAAGAGTTATCTTCACACTGGGCATGTTTCCATGACTCTCCTAACAGCTGAGTCCACCTAGGAACTTGCCAGTGTGGTGACAAATAATAGAATAGTAGGGTTGAAAGGGGCCAGGAAGATCCCGGGGACCAACCCGCTGCTCTTGCAGGGCCCCAATTTCTCCATCCCACTCAGAGGGCTGGAGAGAGAGAGACAGAGACAGAAAGAGAGACAGAGCGAGAGAGAGAGAGAGAGGCAGATGCTGCTGGGTAAATAGGGAAGGAGATGGGTAAATGGATGGATATTATTGTTGCCATTAGTGTTATTACTATTAAATTACATTTATAGCTCATCTTTTTCCCTTGTGAGGAACTCATGGCAGCTTCCATGGCTCCCTTTTTATCCTCTCAACAACAACCCTTTGAGGTAGGCAGGGCTGTGAGTTTGTGACTGGCTAGTGAGCTTTATGGTTGAGTGGGGAATGGACCTGGGTCTCCTGTATCCCCAGGCCAACACTCTAACCACCACAATGGCTCTCTGAGTAGACAGGTAAATAGATATAGAAACAGACGGACGGATGGCTAAATTGAAAAGGAGTGGGATAGCACCCAGTGATCTCCTACAAGATCAGTGTCACCCACACTGCTTGAGAGCCAATGCTCACGAACCCAAACTTTTCTAGACATGAGCTAAATTCTGTGGGGATACAGCTGAATGAATCAAGCAGCCCAGGATGCTCAGCAAACCACTCTTTCCCAGCCTCCATTTCCCCACCCTTCATCTGTAGCATGGAGCGTCGACATTCACCCTACCTTACAGGTTTTCTGTAAGTACTATACCAAGACGATGCGTTCAACACACTCAGTTTATTCGAATACCCCGTAAGAAATGGGAAGTGCTATTGAGTCATATCAGAGCTGTTTCATTTTCTGAGTTAGTGTCTATTGATTGACTGAGTGACTTGATTTGAGACCATTAGACTGTCTCCCTAGATAGCCTCCTCACCTTACTTCACTCACCACTCTGAGCTCCTTCAAGTGATCGTCCTTGCCAGGAGCAAAACGGGAAGGGATCAGAGGAAAGAGGAAAGAAGCGCATGAGTAACGTAAAGAAAAGTCCCACTTGGGGCACAATTTGACTGCTTTCTGTGCTGCGTAGCCACGAAGAGATGCCAGCTTCACTGCCGGTCCAGAGAGACGGGGGACGTGGCGTACATGAAGCAGCTGGCCCACGACGGGACTCGCTGTTCGTACAGGGATCCGTTCAGCATTTGCGTCCGCGGAGAGTGCGTGGTGAGTGCAGTCGTTTTTCTCGTGCCAGTCGATTGCTTTCGCCAGAGCGGTTCACAGGGGACCTGGCAGAAAGTCCCACAGTGGGCTGGGCCTTGGGACAGGAGAAACTGCTGTTTTGAATAGCCACTGCATGTTCTGCAAATCATCCGGTATTTGTTTCAGCTCACACCCATTTTTTTCAACCTAGGCTCATCTCAGTGACAGTGTGAATTTCATGTGAAAAAGCACATTTTTAAAATGTGCTTTAAAATGTGCTTTTCTATTGCTTCCAAGTGCACGTTTAAATATAACAATTTGTGGATGGACAGATGGGACGTATGGATGGAAAGCTAAACAGATGCCTATTTTGAACACAGACACAAACACAATCATTTCTTAGGGGGGAAAAAACCACTCTGCTGGCAATTGGAATGGGGATTCCAAACAGTACTTTTCTTATGCTTGACAAACAGCAAGGAAATTCTCACACATGCTTAGTTGGACAAAACATTCATGCATCACCACTTCCCCAGCCTGATCCCCTTGAGATGTTTTCAGCAGCTCCCAAAGTTCCCATCCAATGTGGTCGCTGGATCACTAGGATTGATAGCAGCTATAGTCCAACACATCTGGAGACCATAAGCTTGAAAAAAGCTGTCCTGGAGTTCAGCAGCAGATGTTCTGTGAGAAGAAGGTTCAGCATTTCTAGGTAAGGCTGGAACAGTGAGCAGCCCTTGCTAGGGAATGTATGAAACGAAAGAAGATGGACAACCACCTTGACCCTATATAGCGGAGTTTCCAGTATTCCTACTGGAAAGAGTCGTGCATTCTTTGGCAAGAGAAGGTCCTGTGTCCAACCTGGAGGAAGCAGGAAATGCTTCTCCATTTTTATTTAATTTAATTTTGCCAGAACTGCCCCAGAGAAGTTGCAGATAGAGGCCAAAAGCCACCACCCCTGGGGGGATACTATGATCTTCAGTTTTCCTGAGGGGTAGCTCTTCAAAACAGCCCATGAACAAAGCAACACAGATGCTATCCATTTCTTTGTTTGGGAGCTGCTTTGACGTTGTAATCCTGAGTAAATGGACATTTGGGGGCTAGAAGAATTTTAGCAGGGTCTTTATTTTAAATTCCTGATGCTTATACACAAGGATGAGCCGTAATGTCAGGAGAAACACAAAATCAAATTATGCACTGTGTTTGAAAAGATCTGCAAATGATGTAGAATTGTTACTTCAAATTAATTTGCATAAAGGAAAGCCAGTGTGGCTTGTTGGTTAGAGTGTTGGACTGGAACGGAAAGATCCAGAATCTAGTCCCTAATGAGACTGGGTGACTTCCAGTCACAAATTCTCAGCCTAACCTACTGTACAGGGTTGTTGTGAGGATAAAATGGAGAGGAAGGGAATCTTGTAACCTGCCATGGGCTCCTTGCAAGAGGAAGAAAGCCAGGGCAAAAAAGCAATGTAATAACCAAAAAACAAAATTTATCAGGCTTCTGCTGGTCATGGAAACAGGCAAGACATTATGAAATGCAGCCCTATCACCCTGAGAAACTCTATGAATCCTGCTCAGTCCCTTGGACTGATTAGGCACTTTTAAAAAAAATTTCCTTTGAAATAAATGCCGGTACCCCTTGGACTGTGAATTCTAGGAAAAGCATCACATTCTGCATTTCCAAAACCACGCTCCGCTCTCTTGGTTATTTTAAAATTGTTAGCAGCTACAGAAGATTTGATCCTGTCGCTCTCAATTCCAGTGATATATTTAAACTTCTCTTTGCAGAAAGTGGGGTGTGACAAGGAAATTGGCTCGAACAAAGTTGAAGACAAGTGTGGAGTCTGTGGAGGAGATAATTCCCACTGCCGGACAGTCAAAGGCACCTTCACCCGCACCCCAAAGAAGCCCGGTAGGGATGCTTCCCCCTCGGTGACTCGCCCTGTGCCATCAGCTTCTTGGCTGAATTTGTCATAACACAGAATGCCAGTGGGCTTTCCCAGTTGATCTGCACCCATCTGAACGGGTCCTACACAGGCTTTGTTGCACAATGAACACACCAGAATTCCATACCCTTTTCTAGATTCCCAAGACAATCCACTCTGAGTTCAGGATGCTTGTGCAGCCATGGACCAGGCCAGCTAAGCAGATGCATTTCTACTCTGGGAAAGTCGCTTTTGGATGCAAGCCAATGAGGGATGAGAAGGATCCATCTGGGGGTGGGAAACGTGGGTTCCCTGGGTTCAGCTCAGGGTCCAAGGCGCTGGCAATTGTGCCCCACATTCACAGGGGGCTTGCCAGGATGGAGCCCCTGCACCTGCCAGCATGGCTCCACTCACACTCCAGGAGCAGCTGCCGTTTGAGCAGCTACAACTGGCTCCAGGTAAGCTGGCCATGAGGGGCTTGTCAGGGACGCAGCTCCCTGTGGCAGTTGCACAATCAGAGTCCCACTTCCACACCAGTTGCAGACACCTTGTAGCCGTCTGCAGCTTGACTCTGGAGAAGGTTGCCAGTTGTGAGTGTTAACACATTTCCTCCTGGCTCTGCTCACCTTTGAAGAGTTGGAACTCTGAGAGAAGCAAATTCCAATAGGGTTCGTTCCAATCTCAAGTCCAACGATGCGGCCCATAACCCTCTGAGAACTCAGAGAATCAAGGGCATCCCATGAAGGACAGGAGGACCGCAGAGGTGAAGGTGACTTCCGTGCTCTTTCTGCTCTGCAAAACAGTCAGACAGCTGCTCGAGGGGCCCTCCCATGACAACATGGCTCTGTGCTTCCTCCTTCACCAGAGGCGGCACACCTGCATGCACCAGCGGCTGGGGAGCTGGGCAGGAGGCGCTCCTTCACCCGTCCTGCTCGAGGGGTCCTGTGGGCAGCTGGTTGGCCACCATGCATAGGGAGGGCTGGACTTTGGTTTGATCCGACAGGGCTGTTCTTGTGTTCTCATATTCTACAGCTTCAGAAAAGGAGGGAAAGAGGCGGAGGCAGGATCAGGAAATGTCTTACCGCGGTGGTGCCAGTCCCCTAGCCTCACCACTCTCCACCCTTAAAACCCTTCTCCAAGGTTGCTCTTACGACCTCAGAGATCTTTCTGAGCTGGCTGTGAGGGTGAGGATTAGGAGAAGGTGCCGTGAGCCCGGATCTCCTGCTCCCAGTCATAGCTGATTTCTGGCTTCAGCGCTGGGAATCCCAGTGGCTGTGGCCCAGTGGATGCTCTCTAGGGATCATAGCATTGCAATATGGGCTGGCAGTTACAATTTTATTTCATCTATTTATTTTTGCTTTCACACTTCCCCTCCGAAAGTCTAACCAACCTCTTCCCACAGGGAAACAATTAAGCAAGAGGTGCCAAAATGAACTCAAGTTTCTGGAAAATGAAATCTGCAAGTATCTGACTGATTTTTCATAGTCTTAAGTTTCATTGACTATCTTTTTAAAGTACTGCTGCAATGTGTCTGAATTTTATAAAAGGCATTTAGCATATCTAACCTGCTTGTCAGATGAAATGCATTCACATGAAGATATAGTCAATGAAAATGCAAGACTTCAGTGCCCCGATCACTAATGAAAGCCATTCTGTTTAAGGGAAGACAAGAGGCGCTTTCACTTTACCTAAAGGAGCCCGCAATATTTCTGTTTCTGAAACCAGAGAATCTAAAAGTATCCTGGGTAAGTTTTGCCCCATTGCAGAACTTCAGGCATCCATGTCCACCATGCTTTTCCCCCCACTGCAAAAACAGACAAAACTTTTATGCTTCCTATGAGAGATTTTTCTTTTCTACAATGCTGAGAATATTTTGATTATTAAATCGTATCTGCTCATGTCATCCATTACAGTTTTAAGAAAAACAAGGTCAAGCTAAGATACTGCACATGATTAATTTGGTTTCCACGAGCAAGTCCTTTCCTCTTGCTAGCCTGCTCTCAACCATCAGGAGGAGCATGAGCTGCTAATAATGTTTTTCACTCTGCAAAGTTAAGAATCCAACTGATGGATGGTAAAATGGATAAATGAGCTGCACACACTTTCATGTTCATGCTCTGAAACATAGGAAACATAAACCCTTTGTCTAAATTATCCAGATTGCTATGGTCTCCAGAGAACATAACAAAGTGGATTGCAATAAGAGAAACTTGTTTTCCCTCTGCTGTACAAAAATGGGAAATACAAGGCAGTCTAAACACCAATATGACAAACCTCTTCCCTTTCATGGTTCGATGGATGCACTTCTTCTGCACATGGGGACCACCACTTCTGGCAACCTCCTAACACCTGCAATGATTTTTCTTCTTTTGTTTCCTCTTCTGCTTTCTTCCACTGCCTTGCTGCACATGCCAAAGGGTACCTTAAGATGTTTGACATCCCACCCAGTGCTAGACATGTGATTGTCCAAGAAGACGAGGCTTCTCCTCACATTCTTGGTAAGTGCTTCTTTGCTTAGGTTTGGCCATCATGTCAGTTGACATGGTGCCAACATCTGATGCATCTTTCCAGAAGAGGGAGAGGAGCAATAGCCATACATTCCCCTGGCAATGTATTGCCTCTTGTGGTTATCTTATCTTCAGAGATGTATGGAGAAGGAGGCTATGGATGGCTGCTGGCTTCGCAGGCCAGGTGCTACTTCCATTATTGGAGGTGGTGTGACTGCGCACACCAGTTGCTGAAGAGCATGAGAAGGTGGAGGTCTTGCACTCATCCTACCTGAGGGATCCTGTGGACAGCTGGTTTGCCACTGTGTGAACAGTGTGCTAGACTGGATGGACATTTGGTCTGATCCAGCAGGACCTTTCTTATGGTATTAAAATTATTACATCTGTAACCTACCATTCTTCTATAGAACTCAAGTTTGCATTAAGATCCAGGTAGTCTTTGCCCAGTCATTGCATGGCTTTGGCCCAATTCCTGCATCTTGTGTCTTCAGGTATTCATCTAAGACATTTAAACATATCCCAAAGGGGGGAAATGGGTGTCCAAGAGAGGCAGGAAAAGGAATTTATGAAAATTTTGTTCAGAACAAGAATGCATGAACATTTTGTTTAAGTTTTGTTAAGCATCAGAACTTGTTTCACCTGCAACCCTAAAAGTGAAGACATTTTTCATGCAAACTCACATATTCCTGATTTTGCAACGGCATTTTTTCTTCCATCACAAAGCTTGAAGAAATGCAACATTCAGCAAAGAACTTTGCCTTAGTTCACTTACAGGCTCAAAGACAGTTAAATCCATTTTTTTGAAAACTTCTCTTTAATGAAATTAACCTTTCACCCATCCATATGGGAGAGTCACTGCTAGTCAAACTTGACCCTTCTGAGCGAGAAGGACCCAAGGTCTGACTCGATATAGGGCTGCTTCTGATGTGCCTCATGCTTCTGCCACGGCCCAAATGTGTCCCGGTGGCACCTTTCCAATGTTCTCATTCAAAAACTACATTGCAAGGCCCCGGTAATAACGTGTCTTTGCGGCTGGTGCTTTTAATCTGCAGGAACTCAAATGACTTGCCTTCCCCTCATATCTTCCTCACCAGGATGCCATCCATTAGCATAAAAGTGTCCTTTTTCAAAGCCAATGATAACTAACGATTTGCAGAGTATCTGAAGTCTAAGTGCCTCTTAGATGTAAGAGCAGAAAAGGAGAGTTATTTTTTTCCACTCACTGCAGGGGCCATCCAAGCAAACTTAGAGAAATGCAAATGACACACCTTCAATATGGGGCGCTCTGACGGGAGTCCTTTTACAGCAGCCATTTCACACTCTTTGTGGCCCATCATGGTCAATTGTGGACATTCGGCATCATGATTACAGGGCTGGTTGTGATATACACACTTGGAGAATAGGTGCAATTAACAGCGTGCCTATTCCAGACAGCATGCCTGGAAGAGATGGCAGCTATTCATCCCTTTAGATAACATAACACAAATAATTGTTACAATTTCTTTGTGTACAATCAATATCTGACATAACTGGAGTACACTGATTTGCAGCTGTTATGCAAGTGTAAGAAAGCGGTGAGCCTCATAGAAGCAGGTACCTCTGAAAAGGGGGAGGACTGGATGGAGTCAGCCTGCAGCCCCAAATCAGTCTAGAACCTCTCAGAGGCTCAGTTTTAGCCAGAACACACAGATTCAAATATTGTTGTGCTCGATGTTGTACACATCAAGAGATCTGTGCCAATTTGCACATCAGCAGAATTAATGCAGAGGGCATAGAATCTAACTAGGAAGAAGGAAGCGATGTCCCATAGCAGGATTGGAAGTATTTGGTAGAATGTCCAAAGAGCTGGTGCAGCATTAGTGCCTTAAGGTTTCCAGGCCACCATAGCTTAGGAGTGAGTACCATGGAATTTGGTGGCTCTTGGTTCTGGAAGAACATGCATCCCCACCTTTCCCACCCTGGTGTGTTCTGGACTACTGTTCCCAGCATTCCTGACCATGTGTCCTGCTAAATGAGAGGGATGGGTGTTGCAGCCCCAAACCTCTGAAGGGCAACCCATTGCGGGCGACTGATGTACAGGGTTTGGGCTGTATGTGTCTGAGGGTGAGCTTGGAATCTGTCAGGTCAAAATCCACCTCAGGAGGTCACTAGGCAGACCCTAAGCCAATGCCACCACTTCAGCCTTGTCTCCCCCATCCAAATGGGACAGCAAAGGCTGCCTACTGTTAGCTTTGGGGCGTAGGCAGCAGGTGTCTGTAACTGGAGCAGCAGGACCAGGGCGAATGGAGGTCTTGTCTAGGTGCAATAGGTTCTGAAGCAAAGGCAAAGGTACGAGCAAGGATCAGGTATCATCAAGGTGTGGTGGGGCAGAGGTAAGCTTAGGAACAGATGGGATTAGAAGATACAGGAGGACTGGGGGCAAAAGATTCCTCAGGCACACAAAGCTTCCAGTACAAAGACTCGCATTGCTGTGGCAACGCCAAGAGGAAGCCTTTTATAGACCCCCCACCCTCCCAGTGGCTTCCAGCTGGTTTCCATAATTCCAATGGTCCTAAACCCTGCAAGCACCTACAGGTCTCATACCTATCCTGCAAATACTTGCAGGCCGCCTGTTCTAACAAGCCAGTAGGGGGAGCTATTCTGCTCTGGAGATCCTGACAGCTGCCTTAAAGAGTTGTGGCAAGGATCGACGATGCATGTGAAGCACTGGAACCCTTGAAATGCTTCACAGACGTGCTGGTTGGTATCATTCTTCTTGAATGGAAGAGCAGAAGCCAACCTTAATTGCATGCAGCCTTCACTCCTTTTCTCAAAGTCCATCTCTGCTCTTCATTAGTCTTGTTGCGATTCTCCTCTCCACTAAGAAAGGGCAGATCGGTCCAAATTTGATCTAAGACAAAGACAAAGACTGCTCCATTCCATCAATGGATATTAAGAAAGAAAGGAAGGAATGAAGGAAGGAAGGTGTGATTGTTTAAAAATCAGGTGGGGGGCAAAGCAATTAATTGTGTGAAGTTCTCAAAGAGCTGCCTTTTCATTGCATTTTTGTCTCCCCTGCTCTTTTCCTCTCTCGTTCTTTTTATAATTCTTTCTTTTAGTTCATAGCTGCTAGCAGCAACATGAAAACAGCTGCCACCAGCTTTAAAAATGCGGTTGAAAATGCCCCCGTGACAGTATTTCCATACAGCATCTCTGTAATCTGTATGGGAGGGAAAAGATGGCCATTCTCATGTACTGGTGGGAATTTTGGCACTTTCTGGCTGCTGCAGCCAACTATACCCTCTTTAAAGTAAAAGCAGGCAGTGCTCAAAGCTGGAAGAACTAAGTCAGTGTATGTAAATTCAGGATGTGGACTGATCCACCTAACCATATTTTGATTTTCACAATGATTTGGAAGGTATGAATTGCCTCCGTCTGCACTGAAATGCAGTACATACTCCTCAAGAAAGCCAAATTTCCACTCATGGTGGACAAATCAGTCCATTTCTGCTCCGAGCCAGTTTTGTATTGATCCATTCATAGATCCGCTCCATCTGATGTCAGCATCCGTCTGCCATTCTCTTTGGTTTTTTAACTGCAAAACTTGCAATTCATTTTTGCATGCAGTTCTCCCTGCTATATGCAACTTCCCAATGTACACATTTTATTTGCAGTTTTTGAGCCAAGAACTGCATTGCAAAGTTCAGAGAAATGTACAGTCCAAAGAATAATTTGGATTCAAACCCCATAGACTGGGAAGTGCAAATTATATTTGTATGCTTTAAAATGCAGACCGAATGGAAAATTCCACCTGTGTTTGCCTCTTCCAAGGTAATGCTAGGCCTGCAGTGCAGGAATGGACAACTTTTGCAGCCAAATCTTCCCCTGTGCCCAGATTAAATCTAATTAGTAACATGAGAGAGAAAGAAAAGGGTTGGGAAGTTCTGGGTCAGCGAGGAAGGATTCAGGCCTCATGGCATCCGAAGATAAAAATGGAATACCCAGGAAACTATTTTGTGCTGAGGCTGAAAAAAATGCCACATGGCAATTTGCATAACAATAATTGCTTGACCTCCACTGGTTTTGCTCTCTTTAGCCTTTAAGAATCAGGCAACAGGCCACTATATTCTGAATGGGAAAGGAGAGGGATCAAGCGCCCGTTCCTTCATTGATCTGGGCTTAGAGTGGGAGTACCACATTGATGACAACATAGAAACCCTTCGGACAGATGGCCCCTTGTATGATCCCATTGTCGTGCTGGTAAGTCACTGTGTTTGTCGTTTTGAGTTATTTCCATGTGGCCTGAACAAGGTCTTTGGTCCCCACCCACAAAGCAGGACAAATTCATAGTGTCCTGCCAAGATGATCCTCCCGCAAGGAGGATGATCCTCTAGGCTGGAAACAGCCTGTTATGGTGGTCCTCCAGAAGCGTCACAAATTCTTCTTCCTTGCCGCATGCCCAAAAATGCAAAAGTGGTATGTGTGCAGAAGGCAGGGATCTCAACCTAATAGCAGGGTGCAGTGCAGAGCTATTGTGTGAACTCTGGTCCGGTAGGTCACCAAAACACCCAGCTCATTCCATTCAGTGTGTGAGCTACAGCAACATCCCACTTGATGTAGTGGAATGGAGCACTTAGCGGAATAGAGATGGCCTTTTTACGATGCTTAAAAGGCTGTGGATTTTGACTTTCCTTCCAAGTCATGACATGCATCTTGCAATGATTCATCACCTGGTCGGCAATTCATAGAAGCAAGAGAGTTGCAAGGTGATGACAACACCAGATACCTGGCTTATCATGCCATGCCATGGCTGCAAGCAGTCAAGTTGTTCTCAGTTCTGTGTGGAGCTGTTTCTCCTCAATGCACCCCTTTCCCCCAGTAGAAAATGGCTCAACTTGTTGCAAACCAATGCACAAAACTGAATACTATCATGCTTCTGATCAGGGACACCACAAGTCCTGATCTTTCCTAACGTACTTGGTGAGTTTCCAAAACCCAAACCTCAGATGAACCTGGGAGGGGGCAAGACACAATGCTTCCCTTGTAGTCCAGGTGAGAAAGACAAATTGCCAAATCTGACATTTTAAGTCAAGGAATTTTGACATTCAGTGATATCTCTGGTCTCATGCGCACCATGTTAGGTGACCTGCAAGGTGCATGTCAGAATTCGTCTCATTATGCTGCTGAATGATTGGTGAAAGACTTGGAAAAAGCAATAAAGAGTTGGTGTGAGGATACTCTGCCATCTAGTCAACTGTCTCCACCTGCACAGCTTGACCTGGGCGTCTTTGCTGGGAAGGAAGCTGCACTGACTTCATTTAAGTGTACGGAAAATTGCAGCCTTGATATCATCCACAGTAGTGATTTGCAACCCAAGCACTGGCTGGTGGAGATTCTGAAGCCCCCCTAACAGCAGGGAATGCTGGAGGGGTTTGCAGGAGCAAGAGCCTCTGCCCATTTTTCTGCATCTGCTCATTAAAATTATCTCCACTTATTTTAGCTATGTTTCGTCAAGTGGCTAATTATCTGTAGGGATCAAAATGAAAAGCAGCAGAGATGCTCAGGATGATAACACCTCTGTGTCATGATACATGGAGAGGGTAGCCAGAAGCTTTACACCTGGGCTGGGGAACTGGTGTGTGCGCAGGGGGCAAAGCTCCCTTCCCTGTGCAGCCCATCACAGGCTGAATAGCTTCAGAGGAGGAGGCTGCAGCCCTGGCCTAACTTGCTCGTTGGCCAGTATGCTGGGCAGCCTGCAGCTGTGGACTCAGTTTCCCCGCACGCAGGGTTCCCCATCGGTGGAGGGCATGGAGCAAGTAAAGAGCAGCCAGGGGCCTTCTCCCTGCACCACTCACCTTCCTGATTGGAGCAACACATTGAGTCCAAGGGGCAGATTGGCGATCACAAGGGGATCCTCTCCCCATCTTCTCCCCAGTCCCCTGGAAACCTGAATCCAGAAGGTGGGGGGTACTGAGCGGTGTCCAGGGCCCATGGAAGGGGTCCAGGTCTTTCGGGGGCACACGGGAATCTCTGCAGACCAGGCTGTTTGTTTGTTTGTTTGTTTGTTTGTTTGTTTAAAAATTTTCTAGACCATCCCATTACCAAAGTCTCAGGACAGTTTAACAATAAAAATTTTTAAAAATTTAAAACACAGCATCCTGAAATTTCAATGAATAATAAAACCCCAATTAAAACAGTCAGGTCTTAAAGCTTTGGGAAAATAAAAAGGGGTTGGCCTGATGCCAAAAAGAATAAAGTGACGGTGCCAGGTGAACCTCTCCGGGGAGCGAATTCCACAATTGGGGTGCCACCACAGAGAAGGCCCTTCCCCAGGTAGTCACCCTCCTAATCTCCTTCAGGGAGGGCACCTGGAGAAGGGTGTCTGCCCCAGATCTTAAGGGGTGGGCAGGTGCATAGGGAAGGAGATGCTCCTTCAGGTCAAGCTTCTGAGCCTAGCACTGTTCTCCAATCTCCTCCAGTTGCCATATCCAGCTCGGAGAAAGGTTCAGAATTCTCAGTAGGCAGTGCATGGCTTCCTTTTGAGCTGATTCCTTTTGAACCAGGCTGTGTCATCTACCCTTAGCCGTGACTTAACGTTCTTCTGGGTGGTATAGGGCTGGTATGCTTCAGGAGCACCCATCAACTCAGGGATCTGGCTAAACCCAGCCAAGAGCTGTTACGTTATTCTTGCGATCCTAAGCCCCCACCCACGATTTTCAATACCGCCAGCTTGTATGATCTGCTGCTATTTCCACAGATCATTCCTCAGGACAACAACACGCAGTCTAGCCTGACTTACAAATATATCGTCCATGAAGATTCGGTGCCCAACGTCAGCAGCAACAACGTCCTGCAAGAGGAGCTGGACACCTTTGAATGGGCTCTGAAGAGCTGGTCCCAGTGCTCCAAGCCTTGTGGAGGAGGTGCATTTTCAAGATGGCTGTTAGTAGGGGGCTTTGTGTGTATGCATGATGCACCCATGTGCCAGCAGTGGCAGAGGGATCCAGTCCATGCCGGTTCCCATGCATCCGTGCATAACCCTGTTCTGCTCTTTCTGCAGAGCTGTCGTTCTTTAAATGAAGAAATATGCACAAAAATTCACGGATTTCCATATACTCTGTTGGCTCACGTTCTTAGTCATTACACTGAAATAGTTCCTTCCTTGTTTTCTTGTTTTCCAAATGGTCCCTTTTTCACTGGCATTTTCTACCCGACATGTGATTTGTCGTGCTGGTTCTTTGTCTTCCAGGTTTCCAGTACACGAAATACGGCTGCCGCCGGAAGAGCGACAACAAGATGGTCCACCGCAGCTTCTGTGAAGCCAGCAAAAAGCCCAAACCCATCCGCAGGATGTGCAATTTCCAGGACTGCACACAGCCTTTGTAAGCATCTGCCTCCTTTCAGTGAGCAGCAGTTTTCCAGGAAGGGGGAGTTGAGCCCCCAAGGGGGCACAAGGACCACTTGGAGTGAAGCAAAAGGCAACCCCACTTGGTGAGAGCCGTGCTTCTTCTGCGACATCCTCAGGTCCTGGTGTAGAAGAGGGACCAATGGATGGGATGGTGTCCAGCCCAATTCAAGGTGCTGGTTCTAATGTAAAGAAACGTATAGGCCGTGAAACACGGGTGCAGATCGGAGGGCCTCCCCCGCTTCAGTCTCCCCATATGGTACGATCCACATTGGAGGCCTTTCTTCATGCAGATGCTCCCAGGTCGATTGCAAGAACGGCAAGAGAAGGGTCTCCTTGGCGGTGGCCCCTGAGTTGGGTGAGGCCTGCCTGGTGCCAGCATTGCCATCTCTTTGGAACCAGAAAGGCTTCCTCTGTTCTCAGGCATTTGATAGCACACGATGCACATTTTAAACACGTTCGATGTGCTTGGCTGTTGCTGTTGGCTGTTGTGTTTCTTCCTAAGGTTGTGGTGTTTTGGCAGGCGTGGTGTTTTCACTCTTTTAAATGGTGCGCGTTTTAGGGGGCAACCTGAACTTGCAGGTTTATGGGTATCCTATGCTGAGGACTTGGCCCAGCAAGGGAGAACTCAGCGGCGACCATGCCTCATACCTTGATTTTTATCTAGATGGCTCTTCTCGGCCTTCCAGGTCACATACCAAAGGAAGCCAGTAGGAGCTGATGGCTCAAACTCCTCAGAGTGCCCATTTTTCTCTCTTTACTGGCACTTATGACTTTGGGGGAGGCTGCTGGCACCGTTCTTTCCACACCAGCACGGTCTTCAAAGTCCAGCTCCAAAATCACAGGATAATGATGATGATTGGAAGTTATATTCCACATTTAAAGTAGTCCCAAGCCCTCTCTAAGCAGATTTCAAAAATACCCATAAAAACAGCATCTCATAAAAGTGTATAAACATATAACAATTACAATACACAAAATGCTGCTGAGATAGAGATAGATAGAAATAGTCTATTAAATTAAAGGACAATATAAAATGGTGTAATTAAAATTACACAATATAAAATCAATTATTAAAATGTTTGGAGAACAGTATCATGTTTGCCTGAGGCGAAAAAATTGTAATGAAGGTGCTGGGTGAAATGCCATTGCGGAAGGACATTCCATAGATGGGGCGCAATCGCTGAGAAGGTCCCTCTTCTATTTGCCATCCTCCTTAACTCCTTGGAGGTCGGCTGTTTCAGAAGGGGCTCCTCACCTGACCTTAGGACCACGTAGGTACACATGGGAGCAGGCAGTCCTTCAGGTATTCTGGTCCCAAGCTGTTTCAGTCTTTATATGTTAGCACAAGCACCTTAAACTGAGCCCAAAGCTCAACTGGTAACCAATGCAAATGATATATTATCAGAGTGACCCTGTTTTGTACCAGTTGAAGTTTCTTGGTGTTAGGACTCCAAAGAGTCCCAGGCAGTATCAAAAGACCATATGATGGAGCCCTTCATCTTCTAAGCCACCTTGCTGGATTTTTTTGTGGAAAAGAAGACTAAGAAATCCAGTACAGAATAAATATACATCCATAATGGAATTTCAGAATTAGCTTTCAATAATGAAAGCTACCTTCTGTGATCTGACAGACTTTGGTTTTGATTGAGCAACCAGATATTGCAGCTCACACAAGGAGTTTCTCACCTACTAATGGGAATAGAAGATTCTGGCTTTAGACACCCGTGCTTTTGCCTTAAACTTGACCATACTTCGGCAGAGAAGTTTCCATTAGCAAATGTAAACAATTCACTTCTCTTTGATGGGCAATCAGCCACATGCCAGATTTTCAGAGGAGATTCGTTGACTCCCATCTTCTATCACTCATATATCAAATTGCATGCAGGTCTAGCTATGCATTATTCAGCACCGTATTCTCTCTTCAATCTGCAGAGCACTTCCATCAGGAAAACTCAGGCATTCATGGATCATAAAATATTTGTGTGTGCCTGCAGATCAACCCAGGATGGAAGCGGTCTTCTAGGAGGTCACTGCCTTGAAGCTTCTCAACCCTTCTTTCTCTTTCCCACCCCAGCTGGGTCACAGAAGAATGGGAACACTGTACCAAGACATGTGGGACTTCTGGTTATCAGATCCGAACAGTGCGTTGCATTCAGCCACTTCACGATGGTGCAAACCGCTCGGTTCATTTCAAATATTGCAGTGGGGATCGCCCAGAGAGTCGTAGGCCTTGCAACAGAGCGCCATGTCCTGCTCAATGGAAAACCTTGCCCTGGAATCCAGTAAGCATCCAGGATCCTCTGTGTTTGACCTTCCCCTTCACTCGTCACAGACCAGTGAAACAGTGCACAGAAATGGAAGTGAAGAATAGAACAGAATACGTGACACAGAGCCAGCGTGGTGTAGTGGTGAAGAGCATGGGACTGGGACTCAGGCGACCTGGATTCTAGTCCCCGCTTGGCCATGGAGCCAACTGGGTGACTTTGGGCCAGTCCCAGCCTCTCAGTCCAGCTGAGACTGGATTGCTGTTGTGGGGATAAGATTGAAAGGAGGAGAAGAATTACATAAGCCACCTTGAGTCCTTGGAGGGAAAAAAAGGAGGTATCTAAATATAATAAATAACATTTAGATAAATAGATAACTAGATCCCAGTCTACTAAAAACAAGTCATTAAAGTAATTGAATCTTTAAGATAAAACGAGAAAGTACACAAGCAGAATAAATTTAAATTATTTTACCATCCATTAATGCCCACTGGTCTCCATTAGCATAAATGTATAGCTGCTGCACAGAAGTTTCTCCCATGTTAGTTACTTTTGGATCATGATCTGATATTAGATATTGAATATCGTTTGTCCACCCTTCCTATTATATAATAAGGGTTAGAACTAAGTGAAACAAGCCTTGAAAAAATGTGCAATATAGCAAGCCATGCCCTTCTGTTTCCATTTCACCCATCTCACAAGGAGATATCCCTTGCTGGTACAGATTTCTGCTAAAATCCATCCAACCAGGTAGAGGGTAATACATTAAATCTTTCCTTTCATAAATGTGGGGATATATTAATCAGAAAAGTATTTTGCAGATAAGCTTCCCTTCCCATTAACTCTCTACTCAGGATGGCCTGTATACATGATATTGTGGTTCTGTGCACTTGTATGTTTAATATATAGCTAAGTCATTGATTTAAAACAGAATCCCACTTTGAGCATTTCTTGGCAGTTGTTCCACTCCCCGGGCAAAAACTCTGTGAATCAGTAAATTTGAGCTCACAAAAAAATCTCTGAGTTCTATCTCAAAGTTCATTCCCATTCAAGTCTGCATCATGTCGTGGACTCTCCCAGCCTTCCTCATGAAAATCTGCGTTTTTTTCTTGCATAGTATTTTCCAATCAATTGTGCAGAGGGGCCATTGTGTCCAACCCCCTGCTTGGTGCAGGACTCCAAGTTAAACCATCACTCTCCAGCTGCATCTCACATGCCACCAGTGTGGGAGAGTCCACAAACATCCCTAGGTAATTGGTCCCACTGTCGTACTGCTCTAACAGATAGGAAAATTTTCCTGATATCTAGCTGGAATCTGGCTTCTTATAACTTAAGAAGTCTTCTTCCAAGTCCCACACTCTGGGATTGTCAAGAAGAGATCCTGCTCTTCCTTTCTGTGACAGCTTTCAAGTACTTGAAGAGTGCTATCTTATCTCCGCACAGACTTATGTTCTCAAGCCTAAACAGGCCCAGTTACTTCGATCTCCTTCCAAGGGTTGACGACAGAAATCTTGTAGTAATTGGACCTAAGATGACACTAACTCTCAAGGAAGAGCAAAATGTGAAATGCAAATTTCTGGGACAATTTAATTCATGATGTATTTAACTATCCATGGAGCAATATGGTAGTGAATGGGTTTGGGAGATGGAATTTGCTATAAAGCTCAAAACAGCCATGCATGGGGATCTTCCTGAACACAGGAGTCATCAGGGTCACCTGAATGTATGAGAAATGCATTTCAGTTTGGATTTCAATAGAATTTACCCCTTTCACATCTCTTCAACCAAAGTGGAAACTCCCTTTTGTGTTCTTGCTTGGCTAAACTTTGGCTTATCAATAAGGTTTCCATGTACCCAGAGACAAAGTTAGGGAGGGGAAACACCTGCGCAATACATTTTCTTCATCCAGTTAGGGAACTGCCCCTGGAAGCCTTGCTTCTTCTCTCCATAGTGCCTTGTTGCTTTTCTCCACAGTGTTCAGTGACCTGCGGGGAAGGAACAGAGTCCCGGCAGGTTTTGTGCCGCATCGGTGACCAGTGTGACGGAGAAAAGCCAGAGTCTGTGAGGGTTTGCAAGCTGGCTCCCTGTAATGGTAAGGAATACTGAAGATGAAGCTCAAATACTTTGGCCACCTAACGAGAAGGAGGGACTCCCTGGAGAAGAGCATGATGCTGGGAACGGTTGACAGCAATAGGAGAAGGGGGTGAGGTGGCTGGATGGAGTCACTGGGACAGTGGGTGTGGGCTTGGGTGGGCTCCAGGGGATGGTGGAGGACAGGAGAGCCTGGAGGAATGTTGTCCATGGGGTTGCGATGGGTCGGACACGACTTCGTGACTAACAATAATGGTAAGGAAAATATTTCTCCTAGCTGCCTTCAGATGAAGTTATCTAGCTTCTGGGAGTCCTGACCCAGTTAATTGCCTGCAACATCTGGAAACTGGTGCCAAGCAAAGCAGTGATACAGAGAATCACACCAGTTCACAATGGGGCAGCCTCTCTTACTGTACTATAAAGTCCCCATAGATAAAGATCCCAATCATGTACAGCGAAAGTGAAAAACATGGCACCCACTGGATGTCTTGCACTACAACTCCCATCAGCCCCAGCCAGCATGGTCAGGGACATTTGGAATTATTCTCCAAAACACCTGGAAGGCACCAGGTCATGTTGCCTCGATTTAGAGTGAATTATTGTCCATGTTGTGGCCTTTACTGTTGCATTTGGGGATGGCTTGTTAAAATTCCATTAGAATAGGTTGCTACTAACAAAGCTGCCCTTCACGATTTAATCCTTCACTCTACGATGAGGGAAAGTCAGATTTCAAAATCCTCTTGTAAACAAATGGGTGGGGGCGCTGGACAGAATGTGATTTCCCCAGAAGCCCACTTGCTGGGGGATACAGGGAACAAGAGGGACAGGGAAAGTGAGGAAAGAAAGAACGAACGATGAATGAATGAATGAACGAACGAACGAAAGTTGTGTAGTGGTTAGAATTTTGGACTGGGACTTCAAAGACCCAGGTTCTGGTCCTCAGTCAGCTATGAAGTTCACCAGGTGACTCTGGGCCAGTCACTAACTCTCAGCCTAGACTACTTCTTATGAGGATAAAATGGAAAGCAGATTGATGGAGTCAATAGAAGGTGGAGTTTAAACGCGGTTAAGCAATACATTAATCATCTATCTTTTGTACTAATATCCCCAGTAAAGTTTGGGTTAGACAGATCTTTCTAATTATGTATACTGAGGTCTGATTGCAGACTGGACATTCTGTAAGTCCTTTTATTTGGACTCAAAGGCAGTTCTAAGTGAGGAAATCACAGGGGCCTTTGATATCATAACAGAAAGATGCATGGCGAGGAGATGCAAAGCCCAACCCGTTCTGCTGTGCCAGTAACGGAATCAGAGAAACGAATGGACAACGGCAAGAGGCGGGCATAACAGCCATGGAAGGTGAATGTGTGTCACCCAAACCAATCGTGACACGAGAGCCCTGATGTACCAGCAAAGTGTTTTGAAGTATAACCGTCTTTGCCAGGGATAGGAGTGTGAAAAAACGCTTCCAGGAGTCTGTCTGCCATAAACCAGGTCATGCTTGAGAGCTGCAGGCTCCAATCTGCGGAACAGCAATGTGGACCTTTGACGTTGAGTAGAGTTGGTTTGGCTCGTGCTGTTCTCCTCATGTAATGGGCCCATGCAGTGACGGGCTCATGCAGGAACAATGAAAAGGGGCCAGCTCTTGGCTCTCCGCTGAACCTGCCTTACAAGGCAGGACACCTTGGAGAGGAGGAGACTTCTGGGTGCCACCCTGGGCTCCCTGGAGGAGTGGTGGGATATAAATGCCACCAATAAATTCATTAGTGCACTTACGAGGGTTGAAGAGGACAATCCAAAACAGCTTTCTCCAACCCTGCAGCTGCATTGCATTACAACTCCCATTATCCCCGGTTGGCCTGTGTAGAGAGGAGGTGACAGAGGGTTGTAATTCCACACTAATGGAGGGTGCCAGGTTGAAGAAGGCTACCTTGCTACAGTATTCAAAAATGCGAAGAGCGGGAGGAGAGTGCTGGAAGCCACTCTTGAGTTCCTTGTAAGAAAAACAGTGGGAGATTAGATGGAGACGGAGATGATGGAGATGGAGATATGGGAATGCCTGCTCCCATATATTCCCACCCGACCATTCAGATCTGCTGGAGAGGTCCTTCTCAGAGAGAAGCCCCCTAAGAAAGTAAGAGGGATGGCAAGAGGGACCTTCGTGGTGGTTTCTCTCCATCTGTGGAACATGCTCCCTAAGGAGGAATGCCTGATGCCCTCTTTGTTTTCTTTTAGGCATCAGGCAAAAACCTTTTTATTTTCAAAATTTGATCTGTTAATACTTTTGATGTAACCATTGTAGGCTTGTTTATCATTGCTGCTCTGGAGGGGTTGGTTTATGAACAGTTGTCATTATTTAGTTGGGTTTTTATTGTCCTGTTTTATTGCTGGATTTTTATTTCTTAAATTGTACACCATCCTGAGAGCCCTGTGGGCTCTAGGGCAGTATAGAAATGTAATCAATCAATCAATCAATCAATCAACAGCCTCCTCATTGCATCAGCAGACCCTGAAAAGTCGCTAATGGTACACACAATACACTCTCAAGAGCGCTGCGAATACTTGGACACTAGAGGGAAGCAGAGACCGGGCTCTGCATGGACTTGGAGCCAAAGTAGAGTTTCCCTTTATGAGAAATGGCCTTTCCCTATCGGTCAGAAGCAACGCGTCTTCTGAAATGTCCATGCACTCTTGGCTTGCAGCAAATGAAGGGCACCCTCTGGGTATCCCAGGATTTTTTCCAGATGCATGCTAAGATAGAGTTGGGCAGCCAACAAGCCAGTTTTTCCATCCTTGGTCATCCCCTGCTCCCTTAGCCACTCTGAGACCCAGCACCAAACGTCAGAAGAACAGAAACTGACCAAATAAGGAGTGGATTCCTAGGTTGTGTCCGTTTCATCTTAAAAAGCAAACAATAAATATTTTAAAATAAAAGTGGTGTACCTGTAAGGTTAGGACACAGTACCGGCATTATTGAAAGTAGGTACTCTGGTGCTTGGATTGATCAGTCCCTTCCACACCGCTGGACAATCGTTGAAATGTGATTCCTTGATCCATGAATAAGGACACAGTCCTATCATTCTCACCTTTGTTGGACAGAAGCCTTGATGGCCTTATAGGCCCCTTCCAGCTCTACTAATATTCTGCATAGCCAGAAGCATGGCTTCTAGATCGAGAGAGGTATTACTGCCATTCTATAAGACTCTGTTGTGCCCGCAGCTGGAGTATTGTGTTCAGTTCTGGGCCCCTCATTACAAGAGGGATATAGCAAGGTTGGAATCGGTGCAGTGGAGGGCCACTAGGATGGTGGCTGGTTTGCCATATACGGAGAGGCTGAGGGAGCTGGATCTTTTCAGCCTTGGGAGGAGGAGACTCAGAGGGGAGCTGTTAGCAACATGCAGGTACGTGAGGGAGTATCACACAGAGGTGGGTCATGATCTTTTTTCCTCTGCAGTGGAGGGCAGGATGCATTCCAATGGAGCAAAGCTCAGGGAACCCTAGGTTATGGAATGGGCTTCCACGGGAGGTGGTTGAAGCCCCATTGGTGAGGGTGTTTAAGGATAGGCTGGACCTGCACATGGTAGGCATGTCATGAGTGGAGCTGGCTGGAGCCAGGGGTCAGACTAGATGGCCCAGGAGGCCCCTTCTGACTCGCTCTGTTTCTATGCCCTGCTCTGCACTACTCTTACTGGTCCAGTGACCTGTGGCCATCCCAATATTGTTGGACTAATTGGATAATCATGCCTGATTATCAGACAAGAAAGCTATGGCTACTGGAAATAATGTGTCATCCTCTGCCAGGCCAGAAGTCCCCTTAAACTTGTACTTTCTTGTGTGAAATAGTGAAGAATCAATTCAACATCAAGCTCCGAGAGTGTGATTGGGAGCATCTCCCCTCCAGGGGAAGTACTGTATTTTTCGCTCTACAAGACGTGCCTGACCATAAGACGCGCCTAGTTTTTAGAGGAGAAAAACAAGAAAAAAAATATTCTGAATCAAGTGGGCACATAATCACAGGCACATTCCCCATCACTTGCCCATGGGCTGCACATCTGACAGGCTTACTGCACACACATATTCACTCTGTAAGACACACAGACATTTCCCCTTACTTTTGAGGGGGGAAAGAGTGTGTCTTATAGAGCAAAAAATACGGTAAATTTGTTTACTACCCCGTATCCTCCAACCTTCAAAGCAAAGCTGAAATGGAAGGTGAAATTTTGCACTTGGGCTTGCAGAAGTGCTGAGGGCTCGAACTCATAGTTTTGAAGGCGAGTTGTTGAGTTTCCACTCTTTACTTGCAACCCTCTTAGGATTTGGTTTGGCTTTGTTGTGGTCACAAAGTTCCACAGAACTTCCAAAACCACTTCTGCTTCGTGTCCTGTGACAACGGGGATGGCTGCGTGGAGGAAATCATCCTTCTCTTTTGCGCACGCTATGAAACACAGTAATTTGCACTGCTTGTGTGTTACGTGCTGTCAGGTTGTCTTCCACCTATGGTGACCCCGTGAGCAGAAAAGCCCACCAAGCGATCCTGTCCACGGCAGCTCCATTTGGCTCTTCCAAGTTCAAGGCTGTGGCTTCTTTGATGGACTCAGTCCATCTCATCTTTGGTCTGCCCTTCCATTTGCTGAGGCATCTCACAAAAGAGGGGGAACTCTCTCCTCCAAGATCACTTGCAGGCTATTAAAGATATGGCGCTAACAGATGCTTTTTGAGCACTGCTAAATGACAGTGCTCAAAACCGTTTGAAATGGAAAGAGAAAGGCAGAGCAGAACTAGCAGTCAGATATGTTGCAAAACTAATTACCATGTAGGGATGGATTCTCTTTGTTGACTGGTGTCGGAATACACAGCTATTCCATAAAATTGGGGTGGGTGGCTTTAGGCATGTAACAGCTATTTTTTTTAACTAGATCACCAATTTGTCTAAATCCTCTTCGCACAACCCACAGACCAGTGCAGTGATGAGTTCCACAAATGTTGCACCAGGTGTGTGCAAATTTGGTACACCCCCACTCCATGGGCTATATTTAGACCCCCCCCCCTTTATTTTGAAGAAGGGTTTGTTTTAAAAATCAGTCATTAAAAAGATGGTTGATTAATAATGGAGCTTTCACTTCCTTGTGATTTCTGTCTGTATTATTTTCTCTTTGCTTCTTGGATGGATGGACATGCCAGTATATTTTCAGAGCAATCCAGAAATGCAATAAAAACAGTAAAATCATGAAGCCACTGTAAGACAAAGCAATCAATAAAACAGTAGATAATGGTGTCATTAAGACAATCTCATCAGATGTTAAAAAGCCTGGAAGCCAAATTTTGAAAGACTTATTTACAGAGAGGCATTCTGCTGCTTTCCAGTGAATAGTGGCATGATAAAATATCCCCATTAGAACATCTGCATGAAATAAATCATTTATTTGAGAAAGGAGGGTGACTGACACTTTCTAGAGAAGGGAATACTGATCTACACATACACAGAGTACATCTTCTTTTTACTTCTGTGTAAACATGTGGCGCCCAGCATGGCCATTTTCATGCCATCAGAGGGCTTCCCCCACCCTTCATTTTTAGCCACAATGAAAGGGGTGAAAGTGAAAGGTGGCAAGGTTTAGTTGTCTCCATCTATGAACAGCCGCCCCACTCTGGATCAAGACCACTAAGAGCTTACACTGGGGATAAATTAGCGAGGATCCAAAGTATGCTACACGCTTCAACGAGAATGTAAGAGGAACCTGCCCTAGCAGCGAAGGAGACCAACGGCCAAGCACAGCCTCAAAAGGTGTGAAGGACTGTCCTTTGAGAGCAGTGTAAAACCCAACCTTGAAATAACTCCTCAGCTCATCAGCAACCACCCCAAGGTGCATTCAAATGGGATGGTTAAAAAATTGAACCTCCAATTCAACTTTCATCAGATATGTCAACCATTTTTGCCCTCAACTGTTGTTGTCGCGCGCTGTCCAGTCAGCTCTGACTCACGGCAACACTATGAATAAAAGCCTGGCCAAAATGTTTCATCCATGGCAGTCCTGCTCTGCTTTTCTAAATCTGAGGTTGTGGTTTTCTTTATGGAGTCAATCCATTTCATTCATTTATAGTACCTGAATTACACACACACACACACACACACACACACACACACACACACACACACACACAGAGTCAAGGGTAGAACGGAGCAATGGTGATCTAAAAGAACTGCCGATGGCAACCAAGACAGAAACGCTTCCTGACCTTTCTCAACTTCCACTTGCTGCTGACATGTAATTTTCTAAGGCATATGATTGTTCCGGGCAGGCGATTGCTCACTGCTCATCCCATTTTCAGAAAACAGACTGTAGGCAGTTTTCTGGACATTTTTGTGTCCAAATCCCCAAAGCTCATTGCAAATGGAAACCAAACTCCTGCACCATTTGGGCCTAGCTCATAATGGTCATGCTGCACCGTGTTTCCCAGGACTCATTGCTCTCCGTGTCTTCCTTTTCCCAATCAGGTTTATCTGGCAGTGGGGTAGAATCTCAGTGGGTTGGAGCGGGGTGATTCATTAGCACTCCATCAGGCCAGGGAATCTCGCTTACAGCATCCCAGACACCAAGGAGTATGAACTTGTCAGCCCCTTGGTGTTCCAGAACTCATGACCTTCCATCAACACTGCAGCCAAGAAAGTTTGAAAGGGGAAGAAGTACTCACAAGTCGCATGTGGACTTGTGCCCTTTGGAAATGCAAAGCAACTCTAGGCTGAAGTTGAAACCATTTTATTTCAGCCTAATTCAAAATAAGCCCATTCTGAAGAGGCTACAGGTGAGCTTTTCCATTGCTAGATAATGTTGAAAAATGCTTTGGAGAAGTTAGGTGGCACAGAATGGGGGAATGTGCCTCATCCTGGGAGGTAATATTTTTGGATTTATTTTCGAACACATAAAAACACGCATAATCATAGCTTCATATAGTTCCCATGGTAGCAGAAATTATCCTGATGGATCTGCAGGAGAAAGGAGAAATAAATGCTTGCTAGCAGGATTCAAGTGATGTGGTCGGTTGAGCAATAGCATGGTTAGAATGATTGTGCTTGAACTATTTTGAGGGTTCGTTCCAGACTTGGCCATGCTTTGTACAGAACGGTTGAAATCAATGAGATTGACAGTCTGACAAACCCCATTGATTTCCATGGGTCTGTGCCAGCTTTGGATCCTGCCCATAAGTTAGTCACTTAAACACATCTTCAGAGTTTGGCTCTAATTCTTTCCTACTGCCCCACAAGTGATCCTTACATGATCAAGCTCCTTTTGCAGGATGCCATGTTTCTCAGCGTAACTGTTGGGTTTTGTCTTCCAGATGAGCCATGCCTAGGAGACAAATCTATCTTCTGCCAGATGGAGGTGCTTGCCCGGTACTGCTCCATCCCAGGATACAAAAAGTTGTGTTGTGAATCATGCAGCAAACGCAGCAGCCTTCTCCCGCCTTCTTTCCTTAGTGAAGCTGCAGAAACGGAAGAGGACATGTTGGCCAACCCCTTTGACCTATCCAAGACTGTTGCTGCTCCCACCGCTTTAGGCCCTCTTCATCCTGAGAGACACGGTTCTTTGGAGAGGATGTCTTTGGTGGAGGAAGACGCCCATGCACTTATTCCTCATTCCTACAGCCAGGCCAGGGTGGCTGTACCATCCCAAAGGAGAGTTCGGAACCAAGCAAGAAACAAGACTTCTGGGCCAGTTGCAATGCCATATCAGCAACTGACTAAAAGTGGGCATCTCCTTTCCCACAACTCTTCAGCCTTGTTTGATACTGATCCAGCCACGGGAAGTAATGACAGTTCTTCTGGTGTGCATTCTCGGCATGGAGCCTCACAGAAAAATGAGAAGCAAGAGGACAGGAGGCAAACTTCAAGACCTTCCACTGTGGAGAGATGAAACTCAGAGTAAACCAAAGGGGAGGGGATTCATGAAAGTGGAGAAATGGCCTCTTCCTTGTTCCAGACACCATGGTGCATGCAAAATCTCTAAAACCTAGACTCTCAATACATCAACAGCTAACGTAAAGGAAAAAGTGCAGGTTCACTTTCTAGTTACATCCAGCCTTCTCCTCTTCTTCCCCCACTCAACTTCACCCGATATCTGGTGACCCTGAATGCTTCAAAAAGCATCTTCAAAGTCACATGAACAAACAAAGCAAATATCTGAGCAGATTGGCTGTTTTCTGCTGTCCGGGAATCAATTTTCTCCATCAGCTGCCATCTCCCACTCTTTCTAACATCTTATTTTAAAAAAGGAAGGAAGGAACTGAAATTTGGTTTGGGGTGGGCAAAGTCTGCTAAGCAGAAGCCCCAAAGTTTACACTTCTACAGAATATTTTTTACTGTGGACCAACAAGTCCATACGAATTGCATTGCTAATTTATCTCTATAAAGTGATATATTATGATTCAAAACTGCAGCTGTTGTGTACTTACTTGGGATGTGCAGATCTTGTTAAATCTGTGCTCATTGTCAGGCATCTCCTGGTCTGCCATCCATTCATGGACAGGATCAGGGGCAGGCGGGCTAGGGAGAATGTTGTGTCCATAGATCCGCACTTACTCATGTGCTCATTTTGCACAAGTCTCTCCCCGTAGGTCAAAAATCAGTCCACAAAATCCAAGCAATTCATAAAACGAAAAACCAAAGCCAGTCTACTGTGGAATCTACAAGTTGGATTCGTAGAAATCTGAACCCATTTTGATCTATTGTAGATTTATCTGACAACTGTACATGTCTATAGTGTATATTATTGAGAGAGAGAGAGAAAAGGAAGAAGAGAACAAGAGTGAAGAGCATTATTTCTCAGAATGCTAAGATTCTTCCACTTGTTTATGGACTGTACATTTTGGTTCCTGCTGTTCCTTTCTGCCTTGTTTACATTCCATGAACATGCTCATTGGCTGGGATCCAAAGTGCCCGATTCACACGACCAAGTGTTTCCACATACACATGGTCAAGTGGCTGTGGCATCCATGAGAACTGTTTGGATCCTGCCTCAGAAGCACTTTTGAGTAGGAATGGAAAAACTGTTTCAGTTTCTCTTTAATTCTCCTTTTTTCAATCCTCCCTTTTGTTCCTTTGGGAACACACTCATTCTTAAGTTGGGTTCATCTCAAATTTGGAGAATTTCTTTTTAAATTTGCCTAGAAATCCATAAACACCTTTTGGTGCACATTCCCCTAATACATGCATTTTTGCCTAGTATACACAAGCTGCAAGCAATGCTCCTATTAAACTGCATTGCAAAGATTATTTCCCCTACTCTATGCACTTTGGCAGGCATGTTTGAATCGGAGAACTCCATTGCAAAATTCAGAAAAGTGCCCATTTTGAAGGGTAATCTAGTCTTTGTTTGAATGTGCACAATTAGGTAAGGTCACATTAAAATGAGAACTGAACACACGCTTCCTCCATCCCTATTCTTGAGTAGAATTTCATGGCCAGGTTGCTCAGCGATGGGCAAGAAGGATGCGGTTCCCCGGAAGCCCTGAAATGTCTAACTCTTCTTCAGTGGTGATGAGGAATGTCTTCACATAGCCTTTTGCATCCCAGCAAGTAGCCTCAGAGGGGTAGGTTGATCTCCCATTTGGTCTGTCCTCATAAGCCATGCTTGCTGGGTTGGGATCGGTCTCCACCCTGTGATGCAGAGCTTGCGCATGGAGCCCCAAGATATGGACAACGTGTCTGTGTTTTGGGAGAGGTTGGTTTCCATCTCTTGGGGCAACTTACACTGCGAAGCTGAAATGTACTCACTGGTGCATAAACACTGATTCTCTGTGCCTCAGGTAGGAGAAGGAAACATCCAAACCAGCAACGCAGATTCTAGTGGGGATCTACCATGGCCTCAGCTGGTATTGCCTTCCTTTTTGCCTGCACCAGCTGAAGTCCGCAGGGCCAGTTGCCTACAGGTTGTGCACAAAGCCCATGGCATCAGCACAGCACTTCATCCTCAGGGGTGCGTGGAAGTCTAAGGCGAGCAGAAGCAACCAGCATGGCATCGGAACAGTGCCAGCCCGGTGGTTCCAGAGTGACGCCATCGCTGGACTGTCCCACATTGCGTTATGCCTCCTTCCGCACAGAAGAGTCCTACACCGGGAAGGCCCAACCCAACAGGGCTGCAGGGAATGCCCAAGGAGGGGAAAACAGGGCAAACGATGAGGAAGGGAAACATGGGTGCATCCATAAGGAAATGGGAATGGTGTAAAATTCAGGGAACATCAGCTGTGCAAAACGAAGCGGGCCTGAGTTGCCAAAGCAACACACGGTTGTGGGTCATGGTGTGAAGGCATAGGGCACAGCAATTTTGCTGAAGCTAAGCAGGACTCAGTACAGGGGAGGGTGGTCTTGGGACACTTATATGTGTGGGTCTGAAGTCCACAAATGAACTACGGGATATCGAGCTCAAGAAATAAAGGAGTTCTGCATGTGCCAGGTCCCAGGCTCAGACCTTGACGTCTCTAGAGCAGGGTTGGGAAAGATCTTGGTACAAAACTGGTGGAGTCACTCTCAATTGCCTGGCGAGGAAGTATGTTGCTCTGGCTGAGGAGAAAGCAGCAAGAGATGTTCGCCTAACGAACTGGATTTGCAGAAGAAATGTAGTGCGGCTCCCTTTCTTTTCAGTGGTGCTTGTGCATGAGAAGTTTCTAGGTGTCTACAAAGAATGGCAACCTTTGAATGCAACCTTTTCCTTCTTGCTAGTATTATTTCTGCTAAACGCTCTGTTTGTCATTTGTCGAGCCAAAGAACCTCTCCAATCTAACACAGGAACAAAAAATAAGTCAGAGATGTGACATTTCTCAGAAGCAGGAGCTCACATTTTCATTGACCTCAAGGTGAGAAAGAAATACATGTGTCCTGACAACACGCATCGAACAAAGATAAATTGCTCACGATTTTGGTCACTATTGAACATGTACAACTGTTGCCTTGGGCAGGTGCTTTCTTTCCCTTCTGGGTTTTGCTGTAAAGTACATGTACATAGGAATGGAAATTAAAGCTATTTATTAAACGTTTGGTGGCGTTGTTTTCTATGCTAGTTTTGTATATACCGCATATTTACACTAAATTAATGGCTTAGCTTCTCCAGTGGGAATCCAAGAGATTAAATGTAATGCAGAGAATTACAGTGCAACTGCAGTCTAAGCCTATTTCTGTGCAGGCATGGATCTGGCTCCATGCTACACTCCACTGATTACGTGCCCACAAAGGATTGGAGCCCCAGGAAATCACCCAGGAGAGAAGCAGCTTGATCCACCTTTCTCCACCCATTATTTTTCTTCGCTTGCTTCTCTCTTTAAGCAGTGAATTCGACAGGGAGACATGATAGCTAGAAAGGGAGGCAGAAAAGTGGCCAGGGGCTCCTGTTTTCTGTATTTCCTTCCAATCCCCTCTAGCTTTTTCTGCCTGTGCTTTCAGGGAAGCATCAGAATCCCCCCTCAAAATCTATCTTGTATGTGAGTACCTCTCATTTGATGGTCGTACCATGTAAGCAAGCTCTCACTTCCATATAAGACCTTTTAGCACTGTGGCTCTGTGTTTTTCATGTGTGTGCAAATCTAATGTATAAATTTTAATGCCTCGAATTGTGTACTTTTAGTGCAATAGGGATGTTGGACTGTCAGGTTCTGAGTTCAAAACCCACCAGGAGAAGGAGTCATTACTGCCCTGCAGACTTTTTCTGCAGTGTGTAATTAGGCAGCTCAATTCCCCTTTGCCATAATAGGGTATAAATGGCCGCATCTTGTTCAGGATTGTGGACTTGCCCCTTAACTTCAAATTTGTGTGTTCTTGCCCAAGAATTCTTATTGTATGTATCAGGCAGAACAATAAAGCTAATGAAACTGCTGTAGAGGTTTAAATATTTTAACAGTGCTGTATTTTTATTGTAAACATCTGTAGAATTTTAAGGAGTCTACCAAAGTGTAAAATGTGCAATTAAAAGAAACCACACACCAATGATTCATTTTGTCCTGTTCAACAAAACTATTCCATCAGAAAGTGTGGAACAGCGCAGTTACTGAAGTACCATAAATTGCAATTAAAGAAACAATTTTAGATTAACCAAGAAAGAAAGGAAGGAAGGAAGGCAGGAAGATCATAGCTGCCACTTGCTAGGATAGGATAAAAGCAGAGTTGGAAGGGCCAAGTAAGTCCAGCCCCCAGCTCTGTTTCCACATGTGGTCACCCATCCAACTGCAGTCCCATGCCTTTCCAGCTTAGCAAAGGTGAGTTGACATGCTAGCTCAAGGTATAGCTATGAAGGCAGGGCTGTTGGGAGACTTCTCCACCCCATGAGACAGTAGAGAAATTCACCTTCTAGCATGCATGCAAAATCTCTTTTACATGTGAATGCAGATTGCACACACTAAATGTCTTGACTTGATGCCTCCAGCATAGTGATACCATTCAGAAATTCCCAAGAGCATTTAAAAATACATGTTTTTTTAGTAGCAATCCTGCAGTTACAATATTAATATTTCAGGTTAGCAATTTAGGTTGGAAGTCAAAAGAAAGAAAGCACTTTTGTATTCCTTATTGCAGCAATAGCTAGTATCCTCCCAGAAACACATGTTCCTTGGTGTCTCCAGCTAAACCCCCTGCTTACTAAGGTACCATTTTTATTATACTTTCCCCCCACATCTGCATCCACCATTTCTTCCCCACATCACTGTCTCCCACTTAAAATGGCACACAAGTGCCTCTCACTACCTATACAGCGCATTGCTCCCACTGGAGGTACATGGTAGGAATCCTCTTCCACTGTGCACCCCAATGTGTCTGCTCAGCTTTCGTGTTCCTACTTTCTGGATTCAGGCAGTGGACAGATAGTCATCACAGCTTCTTGGCAGCTGCCACTTTGTGGAACTTGCTCACATTTGAATGGTTTTCAGGATGCCACGGTCTTGCTTCGACCAGCTCAGTGCTTTTTTGTAAGAAAAATGGTGCCGGAACTCATGAAATTATTTACCTTTCACACATAGTCAATCACTGTACACACACCCACACACGTCAGTTGTGTAACGAAACATAATGGTCACCACCTGCAGTAAGTGCTCAGCGTGCGATCACACAACCAAGCACAAGCCGAACCGCGCCATCACAACCAGCGCGGACGAAGTGCGCATGCAGCGGACTTGACACACAAGCAGCCCACATGCACCGTTTCAATGATTTTGCCGCTGACCTGCTATGCTCGACGGGGCAATTCAAATCCACGGGGACCAAACATCAAATTTTCAAAAGTTGCATTTAAAAAACTTGGAAAATCTGTTGAAAAAAGGTGCCGGAACTCCATTCCTGTGCGTTCTGTGACAAAAAAAGCACTGGACCAGCTGAATCTGGGATTAAGAGGCAGGATATCTGTCTTAAATAAATGCTATGTTTGCTGCAACTTGCCCGCTGTTTGCCTTGCAGAATTTGTAGTAAGCACGGGAATAGGGTGAGAAGAGAGCAAAGTGCACAGCAAGGATATGCCAGGCTACCCGATGAATGCAACTGCTCTATGAAGACCGTACTGCCTTTGGATGAAATCTTTGGAACCTCAAAAGAATGCCCTGAGCTAGAAATCAAAGCACCAAAGAGATGCACAGGATCTACTTGGAACTCCTTGGAACGTCTGGGAAATCAAAGCCTTCTGTATCTCTCACTGTCTCATTCTGCCTTTGGCTCACATAAGCAGTAAGATTGTAGTTTTCGGGGACAGAGTGTGTGTATGGGGCTGGGGAAGGGGAAGGGGGATGCTTCTTCAGGTTGGTTTGCCTTCCTTCCAAGTGCATCTTTCTTCCATTGGACATGGACAGCACTGACACTGTTGGCTGTACAGGAATACCTAGCAAGAGACTCCTGTAGACTCATTCCACCATAGTGGAAGTGCCCTGGCTCATCTTCAATGCTCATGATTGAATATTTCCTTCAACGCAGCACGAAGTCCTCTGCAGCTCCCAGAGCCAATCTTGCTAACCAATTTTATTTCAGATGGAAAGAGTGTAACCGCACTCACGACCGGCTCCAAAGGGATAAAGTTTTGGGGCTGACACAGACCCTTTAGATCAGTGCACACAGATTGGAGCTTCTTTTGTGCCTGAATGGAAAACTTCATGCATGGACGCCATTTATAAAGCAATCTTCCCAGCTGAGAGAGCCCATGACAGAGGGACTGGCGCTTCCCAAGGTCTACCAATAGGGTAGAAGGGAGATGCGATTTGCTTTATCCTGACCCCTTTCTATGGTCACCACTTTCTTTGTTTATCCCTCTCCACTGAACACCCCCTGGTTTCAAGATGAGTTCTGGGGCTATTATTATTATTATTATTATTATTATTATTATTATTATTATTATAACATTTCTATGCCGCCCCTTGCCAAAGCCTCGGGGCGGCTTACAACACAATAAAATACATTGAAATACAATAGAACATAAAATAGTGTTCAAGAAAGGAAGGGCTGTCCCTAAGTATTTTGCTGCCTGATCCTGGATGGGATCCAGGACTCCAAGGCCCAGTTTCCTCAATCTCTCCTCAGATGCCACCCCTCCCCACCCAGCTACCCTTCTTGTGACCCTGCGCTGAACTGGTTCTAATCTAGCTATGTCTCTCCTATAATGTGGAGCTCAGAACGGGATGCAGTGCTCCAGTTGTGGGCACACCAGAGTCTTACTTCAATATTGGACATTGGGCACCCTCCAATCAGCTGACTCTTCTTGACTGGTTCAGTGAGGCTTTGAGGTGGGGTCTCCCTCTTCCCCCTAATGATTGTACCTCCATCTCTTCCTAGCCAATCCAGCCCCCAGAGGTTTTTGGTTTTAACATTAAAATAAACTCTTCTGCTGCAATTCTCCCCATCTCCCTTGGTGCATTGTATGGATTTTTACCATTTCAGAGGGCAAACTCAGTCAATAGGAACAAAGCAAGTGATGATATATATGTCACTAGGAAGCCATGGGTAGTAGAGATTGGATTCCTAGAGTGGCCCCTTCCACTTGTTGCTCTTTCCATGGGACTTTATGGTGTTTCTTCACTACAAAGAGAAAAATGCAGCTCCCAGCCCCAGATGTCACAAGTGGAAACCATACAACAGACCATTGTATCTTGCCATGGCTCAAAACAAGCCACAACTGGGTCTGGACAACACAACAAGCGCATGATGGTGAAATCCACGATTGCTTGGTGCAACATGTGAATTCAGCCACGACCTCATGCTGCATTTTGCACGCCGTTGTTTCAGCTCTGCCTGGATCAGGACCAAATTGCGCAAATGGTCAGACATCTTCCTTTGCACACCAGGCCTCAAGCCCAGTCCAGTGGAACAAGGCAGAAACAGTGGAGGTAATTTCATCCTGATAAGAAAGGACTCATTCCCGAACCAGAGATCACCGTCAGGACCCTACAGCAGGCCTGTCACAATGAATCGCAGACGAGACGGCAACTGCATTGCCTCGTCGTTTGGCTGCCTGGTTGGTGTTTGGCCGGCAATCATTTATGTTGATTTATCAACAAAAGCCTCAACTAGAAAAGAAAAATAACTTGCTAAGGCCATCTGTCGTCTTGGTTGCATGCAGTTAAAATCAGACGTGAAACTAATTAGAATCTAATTGGGCACACCTGCTGTGCTGCTCGGCCATCAAATTGCAAGTTTTGGGAAGACTGTCTTTGGTATCACAACTCCTGCTATTAATATTTGCCCAGTTAAAAACCCACATTTAAACCCACTTGTTCCAGACTAGGAATGTACTAGAAATTAATTGCAGTTTGCTTAATAGCTGAACTTGCCTGGTTTGCAATACCAGATACTCACAACACAGGGCCACAGGGTCGGTGGCCGGGTTTCAGGGGATGCCGTATGAGGCGAGACTGAGGGAACTGGGTCTCTTCAGCCTGGGGAAGAGGCGACTCGGAGGGGATCTTTTGGTGACATGCAGGTATGTGAGGGGGTGTCACACAGAGGTGGGTAGAGACCTGTTCTCCCCTGCAGAGGAGGGCAGGACGTGCTCCAATGGAGCAAAACTCAGGGAAGC